GAGAAACGCCTGCCAACAGGGGGGCCTGTGGGCAGATTACTCTATGACGTGGAGAATGTCTCCGGGGCCACCTGCCCGTCACAGCTGCTATGAACACGTATGTCACAGGTAAGGGGATGTCCACGTGCCTGGCTTTTTCTGATACTTTCCTCCCGGGAGGTATCTCAGGGACAGAACACCTGCCCATAAACCCCCCACAGATGTCACATGACTTATCTTGATGGTGTGGGTCTGGGTGTTGGATATAAAATTGCTGGAACTGGAAAAATCAGCTAGAGCTGGAAACAGGCAGAAGCACACGTTGGCAGGACCCAGGGTCCCTGGGGGGGAGGCCTCTCAGCACTGGCAAGCAGGACACCGCAGACAGGACACCTTCAGAGGCTCACCACTTGCTCCTGCAAGCCACCCGAACCCTCCGCCACCTCCCGCTGGCTCCCAGGCGGACTCTGCTCTCTCCCTGCACTCGGGCCTGCGGGCAGATCCAGGGCAGAGGCCGCCCTGCCTTCGCTAGGGCCGAAGGGCAGGCCTGAGGCTCCTCTCCCCCCTCAGTCCTGGGGAGGACTGCCTGGTGCGGGTACTGGTTACACCTCCTGCTTTGAAAAACCAACCGCGGCCTATGGATCTGCAGTGAGGGGCTGGCCCAGCGCATCCTTCTAGAGCCATCCCACCCAAGCCTGACTGGCAAAACCAGGCTGAGATCCTGGGGTGCCGACTACTGAGGAACCCAGGACCCACCAGAACTCGGCAGTGAGAGACACTGGGTCCATCCCCCACTTAGATAATGCCCGGATGCCTAGAGCCCATCCAACACGCACGATGATGGCATGTGGCTCCAGGACATCCAGTGTCCTGCAGGAAACCCCAGTGGCTGCCCCCTTCCCACACCCAGGGCACAGGTGCCAGTGCTCAGAGTGGAACACATGCTCCAGGGCCCTGGGTGGAGCATGAGGAGGCAGCTGGGGAAGCAAGGGAGACAGGAGGGCGGGGTGGGAGCTCCCTCTGGCACCGTGAAGGGAGCGAGAGAGTATATGGAAGATACAATAAAAAAAAAACCCAAGCACATTAGGAGGGGGAGACAAAAGCATTCTTGGTACATTTTTCCTAAAAACAAAGCACAAAGTAAAGACCATGAAGAGCAAAAAGAAAACGTTCCTGGGTCAAAGAAGGGTTTCCTTTGAGTAAATCACCCCCTTGTGGCAATGAACATGACTTGCAGGAGGAAGAAAAAGGTTTTGTTTTTCCCATCTTTTAGACTCTGAAACGATATAGTAACCCTTAAAGTTAGAACTTTCTGCATTAAACAAAGCAAAAACTAACAAAAAAAAGGACTCCCCTTAGGGTAGGTATAATTAAAGCATATGTCTTCGTGTGTTTTTTAAAAATATCTTTTTATTGATTTCAGAGAGGAAGGGAGAGGTAGAGAGAGAGAGAAACATCAATGGTGAGAGAGAATCATTGATCGGTGCCTTCCGCACACTCCACACTGGGGATTGAGCCCGTAACCTGGGCATGTACACTTGACTGGAATTGAACCCGGGAGCTTTCAGTCCGCAGGCCTACGCTGTATCCACTGAGCCAAACTGGCTAGGGGCAAGACTTTTGGGCAAAGCTATCCAATTGCTGGCCCATATCATAAAATATGTAAAAGATGAAAATGTCATTAAATCAAGATGTAAAAAGCTGGGGTGACCTGAGGTGATCCATTTGGGGAACGTTGAAGAGGTTCTGTATTGTCTAAACTGTACACTTTGGAAAGTAAAAGGATTACTATTAATAATTGCACAGGACAGCAGGTGTGAAATTGGGGTCTCAGACAAATTAGAGACCCATGGCTCCCCAAAATTTGTTTCTGTGGTTTAAGTCTGGCAAAGACGTGGCTATGTTTTATAGTAGAGATCATGTGGCAAGAAATCTAACCCTTTCAAAAAGAATAAAAAGTTTCCATCGTTCAGTGTGCTGGCAGGAACTTAGCTTCTGGTTTGAATTTTATAAACCATCCAAGAGCCAGAGTAACCACCGCCTTGTGGCAGCCAAGGCCACTTGCACCCAGCAGACCCGTTGGCCATGCTGTGTCCCACAGAGATCTTTGTGTGCATGCCCCCGGTTGATGACTCATTGAAGGACATCTTGATTACTTCCAATTTTTGGCGATTACAAATAGAGCTTCTGTGAACATTTGCACAGAGATTTTTGTGTACACGTAAGTTTTCAAATCATCCGGGTTAAGATGCAGGAGCATGACTGCTGGATCCTATGGTAAGACTATGTTTTGCTTTGTAAGAAACTGCCAAGATGTCTTCCAAAGAGCCTGTATCATTTTCCAATTTTCCATTCCCACCAGCAATAAATGAGTGCCTGCTGCTCTGTATCTTAAAAAAAAATTATTCATTGACGAGAGAGAGAGAGAGAGAGAGAGAGAGAGAGAGAGAGAGAGAGAGAGAGAGAGAGAGAGTGTCTTTGATTTGTTGCTCCACCCATTGATGCACTTATTGGTTGACTCTTGTATGCGCCCTGACCAGGGATGGAACCCACAACCTTGGCAGGTCAGGACAATGCTCTAATCAACTGAGCTACCTGGCCAGGCTGCTCTGCGCCTTTAGCAGCATTTAACATGGTCAGTTTGAGATTGCAGACATTTTAATGGGTGTGTAGCAGCATCTTATTATGTAATTCCCTAATGACCAATGAGGTTGAGCATCTTTTTCATTTGTTTACTTTATATCTGTATATCTTCTTTGGTGAAGTATGTGTTCAGATCTGTTGACCATTTTTAAATCGGGTTGTTTGTTTTCTTACTGTTGAGTTTTGTATATTTTGGTTAGAAGTCCTTTATCAGATATGTGCTTTACAAATATTTGCGCCCAGGCTTGTCTTTTCATTCTGTTAAGTCTTTTGTAGATCATGGGTTTTTAATTTTAATAAAATCCAACTTATAGTTGTTGTTTTTTTCTTTCTTTCATGGATCATGCTTTTGCTGTTGTCTTTAAAAAGGCATTGCCAAACCCAAGGGCCACCTGGATGTTCTATGTTTTTTCCTAGAACTTTTATACTTTGGCATTTTACGCTTACGTCTATGACCTATTTTTAGTTTGGTTTTTTTTGTGTGAGAAAAGTGTAAGGTCTGCATTCAGATTCATTTTTCTTTTGAAAATGGATGTCTAACTATTCCAGCACAATTTAAAAAATATTTGTATTGATTTCAGAGATAGGAAGGGAGAGGGAAAGAGAGAAACATCAATGATGAGAATCATGGATTGGCTGCCTCCTGCACGCCCCCTACTGGGGATTGAGCTCACAACTTGGGCATGCGCCCTGACCTGGAATCAAACTGTGATCTCTTGGTTCATGGGTTGAAGCCACATGAGCCACACCAGCTGGGCTCCAGCACCATTTTTAAAAAGACTTCCTTTCTCGATTGATTTTTCTTCGTCCCTTTGTCAAAGATGAGTTCACTAGATCTGTTTCTGGATTCTCTATCCTGTTCCATTGATTCATGTATCATTTCTTCACTAACATCATGCTGTCTTGCTTATGTTAGCTTTATAGCAAGTCTTGAAGTCCAGTAGAGTGAGTTTTTTAATTTTCTTATCCTTCTTCAGTATCGTGTTGGCTATTCTGCATTTCTTACCTTTTCGTATAAACTCTAGAAACAGTTTGTTTATTTCCACAAAAGAGCTTGCTGAGATTTTTGACTGAAATTGTGCTTAATCTATCATCACAATGGGAAGAATTGACATCTTAACAATATTGATTCTCCCTACCCACAAACATGGAATACCTCTCCACTTCTTTAAATATGTTCAGTTTCTTTCATCAGCTATTGTTGGTTTCTAGTTTAATTCTATTGTGGTCTGAGACCATACTCTGTTTTATTTTTTATTCCTTTAAATCTGATAAGGTATGTTTTCTGGCCTACATTGTGGTCTAACTGGATGAATGTTCCATGTGACTTGAGAAGAATCTGTATTCTGCTGTTGCTGGATGAGGTATCGCTTAAATGTGAATTAGATCAAATGTATTGATGTTGTTATTCAGTTCAATGTCTGGCATGCATTAAGTAGCGGGGGGGGGGGGGGGGGGAAGGGGGGGGAGGAAAGGTGCAGACCAGCCCTGCCGGGGCAGCAGGAGAGATGCAGGGATTCAGGGACCAACTGTGTAACCTAACACCAAGGTGCACCGGTCTCTGCTGGGTGGATCCCAATCTCCCAGATACTGACAAACACTTCAGCCAATGAGAGTGTCTCTTTAGTCCAATTCTGCCGGCAGGGGGCCCACCTGCCCTTCTGCTGGGCCCAGAGTGGGCGTGGCTTCCAGGCCTGCATGTCAATTGCCTGGCCAACTTGGCGTGGGTCTGTGTTGCCATGACGACCGTGGCTGAGCCGCAGAAGACTGGCTTGTAAACTCTGGCTGCACGTTGAAGACTGTGAACCGTCGAAGATCACTGACGGTGGCTCCGTTTCCTAGGAATACAGGATTCACAGTAGGAATAACAGAATTCTGTGGACTTTTTCACCTGAATTCTCTAGCTGCCCGGGTACCATCGCCTGGGGGCCCTCTGCGGGCTCCGCAGTCAATGCCCCCACCCCAGCCCTGCGAGCCATGACCCCCGCGGGCTGCAGGCTCCGCTTCCACGGTGGGGTGTTCATTTGCATCCGTGCACTTATTTGCTGCCATTTATATTTGCCTCGCAGTGTTTCCCAAAGTGTGGTGCGCGTGCCCCCAGGGGTACGGGAAGAGTTTGGTGGGGGGTACGCGTTGCACCGGAGTTTGGTTGGGGTTATGCACTGCACCGTGCTTACTGCGCCTAATTCTATGTTCTCATGAGTACGAGGGGTACTCAGCGTTACGAAAATTATAGAAGGGTTACACATATGTCAAAAGTTTGGGAAACACTGCAGTAGGATTCTGGGCGGGGTGGGACGGTCTGAAGTAGGCTGGCTGATCTGCGCTGCGGGTCTGTGGGGAGGCCAGCCTAACGGGGCTTCTGTCTTTGCAGAGCCATGGGCAGCAAGAAGAAGGAAATCGCCCTGCAGGTAGTAAGCCTCAGGGGCGCTGACTCCAGCAGTTGCTGGGGGTTGGAGGATGAGGAGGGTGCTGTGGCCAGGAAGGGCAGTGTAGAGGGGATGCTCTTTGCCAGCAGCGTATGACAGGCAGGCCGTGTTCTCCAACCTGAGTATAGATCTCGGACTCGTAGTGATGGCAATGTTTTGTGCTCTTCAGTGCAAACAAGTATAGCTAGCGTTGGGTTGAAGCACATTATGCTTACAGTGCTTATTCAGCCTTGAAACTCTGTACCACTTTTATAGTTTTCAAAATAAAACTAAACAACCAAGAAATATGGATCGATAGACTTTGATGTGACCTATTTATTGTTGAAATAGAATTGCAACTTGCTGCAAGAATATGATATAGATTCTGTTGAGTTTGTAACTGTATGCTCTCTGGAGACCCAGTGGTCCCAAGACTGATCTGTTCAGTCATTTGCTTACTCAGCAAGTATGTTTGGGTATTTTACGTGCTGTGTGTGCCTTTGTCATAGGTGCTTCACATAATTTGCTATTATGACTTTATTGGGAGGATCAGTAACACTTGAATAGAGTTCAAGAGTTACATAATAATAATATACGTGTTCATTTTTTTTTTTATTGTGATGGTTGTATTGTGGCTACGTAGGAATAATGGGCTATTAGGCTGGTAATTTACTTTCAAATAATTCAAGGAGAAAAAGTTCTTTATATTGTACTTGCAAATTTCCGGTAAGTTTGAAATTGTTTCAAAATAAAAACATACAAAAATGTATGCTATCTATGAAGAGGGATAATATGTATTTCTCCTTGTATTTAATTTTTTATATAATTCAGAATACTTTGTGGATAATAGAAAATGTGGGGAAATAAACTCACTGTCAATTTCTGATGTGGATGTTCAAATATATTTAAGAAAAAATGTGCAAAACATATACACTAACTCCAACCAGCCCCAACTAATTTTAACCAATTGCTGAGAAAATGAAGATTTAATAAATGAGAAACAGCACATTCATGGCCTGGAAGACTCAAAGTTGTTAATATTTCAATTATTTCCTAGGTTGATCCTCAGAATCAATGCAATCTCAATTAAAATCTCTGTAGGAATTTTTGCAGAAATTGCCAGGCTGGCTCTAAAATGTTTGTAGAAACCTAGAATAGCCAATACAATCTTAAAAAAAAAAGACAAAATATGGAGGATTCACAATGCCTGATTCCAAGATTTATTGTAAAGCCACAGGGGAGAGAGGGGGGGGGGACTCCCCATTTGTGCCCTCAGTAATACATTATTTGTTCTTCTTTGATGTTAGGTCAACATCAGCACCCAGGAGCTTTGGGAGGAAATGCTCAGTTCCAAAGGACTAACTGGTAATGTAAGATAACTGTTGACACCCATCCTTTAAAAAATTGCTAAATGACAGATTTACCATGAAGAGAAAAACTGCAACGATCACCATTTTCCTATAACCTTGAGTTTCACGAAGAACCAGGTGATTTCTCGCTGGGACCGGTTTGGCTCAGTGGATAGAGCGTTGGCCTGCGGACTTAAAGGTCCCGGGTTCGATTCCGGGCAAGGGCATGTACCTTGGTTGCGGGCACATCCCCAGTGTGGGGTATGCAGGAGGAAGCTGATCAATGATTCTCTCTCATCGATGTTTCTGACTCTCTATCCCTCTCTCTTCCTCTCTGTGAAAAACCAATAATAAAAAAAAAGAACCAAGTGATTTCTTTGTACACATAGATCTGGCTCGAACATCTGTGTGGTGGTGAGTTCTGTGTGGGAAATTAGTCAGTACTATCCAGGAGCAGCCTCCTGGCCAGGTGCAGGCAGAGGAGAGGTTCCCTCACACCCTCCGGGGCGCACAGCACAGCCGGGACCGAAGCAGACCATGGGATCCAAGTTTCACCTGGGTCGCTATCAGAGTCACTTTCCAGGAGAACAGTGTTGACTTTCTCAAGTGAACAAACCTCTCCTTTACCCAAAGCAAATCACCTGTCATTCATCAGAGGGGAAGGTCAAAGCTCTGTTTATTATCAAAGAAGCTAAGAAGTGATTGTATGCTGACAGGTCACCTGCAGCGGCTTCTTCCTTTTAGAATAGACAGTTTCAGTCCATTCAAATATTTATTTATTTATTTATTTATTTATTTATTTATTTATTTATTTATTTAAATTGATTTTTTTACAGAGAGGAAGAGAGAGGGATAGAGAGTTAGAAAAATCAATGAGAAAGAATCATTAATCAGCTGCCTCTTGCACACCCCCTACTGGGGATTGACTGCAATCAAGGTACATGCCCCTGACCAGAATTGAACCTGGGACCTTTCAGTCCACAGGCCGACGCTCTATCCACTGAGCCAAACCAGTCTTGGCAACCATTCAAATATTTATTGAGGGCCCCTCTGGGCTGGGTCTGCACATAGCCTGAAAATTCCTTATGGCAAAGGGATCGTGGTGAGTAAATGACTTCCCACCCTGCACTGCTTCCTTGTGTAGAGAATCCAGAACGAGTTGCTTAAGAAGGAGGGATAGCTGTGTTTCCACACACGCTCAAACTCTGATGAGATAATAAATCTCTGCAACCACTAACTTCCCTGCAAACGACATCCACCTGAGGGAGATAGCATGTGCGCGTGCGTGTGTGTGTGTGTGTGTGGGGGGGGGGGGGTATGTTTGCCGGACATGGGTGCGGGGGCTCACCGAGCCGCCCCACTTCTTTCCCGGTTCCTCGCAGTTGTCGATGTCTATCAAGGCTGGTGCGGCCCCTGCAAGCCCGTGGTGAGCCTCTTCCAGAAAGTGAGGATGGAGGTTGGCCTGGACCTCCTGCACTTCGCCTTGGTAAGACCCTCCTCGGCAACGGTCACACGATGTTGGGAGAATAGGGAGATGTTTAAACACAGGAGCAGGAAGTGTGAGCTCCCTTTTCCGAGCACTGAAGAGGCATCCACTTGATTTTTTAAAATATATATATATATTTTATTGATTTTTTTTTTTTTTTAGAGAGGAAGGAAGAGGGATAGCGTCAGAAACGTCGATGAGAGAGAAACATCCATCAGCTGTCTCTTGCACAACCCCCACTGGAGATGTGCCCGCAATCATAGTATATGTCCTTGACCAGAATTGAACCTGGGACTCTTCAGTCCGCAGGCCGACACTCTATCCACTGAGCCAAACCAGTTTCGGCCCACTGTGGATTGTTTATCATCACACACACACACACACACACACACACACACACACACACACACACACCAGGACAGTCCCTCTGGCTACAGGAACAGAATACCTGCCACTCCAATGGGTGTGCTCCCTCTTAGCTCAAAGACACTGTGAACTCTGGAGTTTCCCCTTCAGAGCTCAGGGGTTCAGGATTTCCATCTTCCACTCCGCAGAGGGGGATGCTGAGTAAACATTTATTTGGATTAATGTATGGAAATGGGAATAAATTCCAGAGACGTGTGCAAGAGACACTCCATGCTTTGAGGTTTGAAGACTGAACACAGAAGACGGGCTTTATACTAATCTCGCCACAAGTTTGACTCCAACGGCTCCTGCTCCTCCCGCTCCTGGGAGTCGATCTGGAGCCTGTGCGGGGCGTGGGGAGAGATGTCCCGGGCGGGCGGCTCAGGGCAGGGGCAGCTGGAGGCTCCCGCCCTGGGGCTGCCAGTCGGTAGCAGCAGGTTTAATGAGCTTCTTTGTGCTGGAGGCGTAGCTGGTGGGGAGCGGGGGAGACCATTGTTTCCTCCTCATTTTATTCCTCAAAAAAGTACAACTGCCAACCATTTTTGCCAATGTGTTGACAGGACAGATGTTATGATTCTGATGAAAAAACAATAGAAGCATGAAAGCAAGTCTGGGCTTTACCTGGGGAGGGCAGTCATGGTGTGTGTGATGTACGTTTGCGGGGAGTGTGTATGATAGGTGGTGTGTGAGTGTGATATGTGGTGTGTGTGTGTGATAGATGGTATGTGTGTGTGATGTGTGCTGTGTGTGTGATATGTGGTGTGTGAGTGTGTGATATGTGCTGTGTGTGTGATAGGTGGTGTGTGTGATAGGTGGTGTGTGTGTGTGTGTGTGATAGGTGGTGTGTGTGTGATATGTGGTGTGTGTGTGTGTGTGATAGGTGGCATGTGTGTGTGATATGTGGTGTGTGTGTGTATGTGTGTGATAGGTGGCATGTGTGTGTGATATGTGGTGTGTGTGATAGGTGCTGTGTGAGTGTGTGATATGTGGTGTGTGTGTAATAGGTGGCATGTGTGTGTAATAGGTGGCATGTGTGTGTGATAGGTGGTGTGTGAGTGTGATAGGTGGTGTGTGTGTGATAGGTAGTGTGTGAGTGTGTGATATGTGGTGTGTGTGTGTGTGTGTAATAGGTGGCGTGTGTGTGATAGGTGGTATGTGTGTGATATGTGGTGTGTGTGTGATATGTGGTGTGTGAGTGTGATATGTGGTGTGTGAGTGTGTACGTGGTGTGTGAGTGTGATAGGTGGTGTGTGTGTGTGATATGTGGTGTGTGTGTGATATGTGGTATGTGTATGATAGGTGGTGTGTGAGTGTGTGATATGTGGTGTGTGTGTGTGTGAGTGTGTAGGTGGTGTGAGTGTGATAGGTGGTGTGTGAGTGTGATAGGTGGTGTGTGAGTGTGATAGGTGCTGTGTGAGTGTGTAGGTGGTGTGTGTATGATAGGTGGTATGTGAGTGTGATAGGTGGTGTGTGAGTGTGATAGGTGCTGTGTGAGTGTGTAGGTGGTGTGAGTGTGATAGGTGGTGTGTGAGTGTGATAGGTGCTGTGTGAGTGTGTAGGTGGTGTGTGTATGATAGGTGGTGTGTGAGTGCGATAGGTGGTGTGTGAGTGTGATAGGTGCTGTGTGAGTGTGTAGGTGGTGTGAGTGTGATAGGTGGTGTGTGAGTGTGATAGGTGCTGTGTGAGTGTGTAGGTGGTGTGTGTATGATAGGTGGTGTGTGAGTGCGATAGGTGGTGTGTGAGTGTGTGTGTGTGTGTAATAGGTGGCGTATGTGTGATAGGTGGTATGTGTGTGTGATAGGTGGTGTGTGAGTGTGTGTGTGTGTGTAATAGGTGGCGTATGTGTGATAGGTGCTGTGTGAGTGTGATAGATGCTGTGTGAGTGTGTACGTGGTGTGTGAGTGCGATAGGTGGTGTGTGTGTGTGATATGTGGTGTGTGTGTGTGATATGTGGTGTGAGTGTGATAGGTGGTGTGTGAGTGTGTGTGTGTGTGTGTAATAGGTGGCGTATGTGTGATAGGTGGTGTGTGTGTGATAGGTGGTGTGTGAGTGTGTACGTGGTGTGTGAGTGCGATAGGTGCTGTGTGAGTGTGATAGGTGCTGTGTGAGTGTGATAGGTGCTGTGTGAGTGTGTACGTGGTGTGTGAGTGCAATAGGTGCTGTGTGAGTGTGATAGGTGCTGTGTGAGTGTGATAGGTGCTGTGTGAGTGTGTACGTGGTGTGTGAGTGCGATAGGTGCTGTGTGAGTGTGTGGAGTGCAGCGTACATATGGATGTCCTGTGCAGCCCCTGACATCATGCCCCTGTCATGCCCCTGTACCGGCTGTGCCCATGGCCTGGGGGATGCCATGACTGTGTTTTCCGTAGGCGGAGGCAGACTGTCTGGACGTCCTGGGAAAGTACCGCGGGAGGAGTGAGCCCACCTTCCTGTTCTATGCAGTGAGTACGCTTTCAGAACCAGGACTGTTGGATGGTCACAGATCATTGGCGGTCAGGTGGGCAAGTCTCAGGGGCATTCTCACTGGGAATCAGCACGGGGTCACACTGTCCCGTTGCAGGGAGGGAAGCTGGTGGCTGTGGTCAGAGGAGCCAACGGCCCGCTGCTGCAGAAAACCATCCTGGACCAGCTGGAGGCCGAGCGGAGGGTGCTGGCTGAAGGCCGGGAGCGGAAAGTGGTAAGGAGGTCGGCACGCTGGCAAGCAGCAGCTCGGGACGTGCTCCGGGCCTGCCGTGCCCTCCCCTTTCCACTAACCTTCCTGGGCCTGTCAGCGGGGAGCTTCAGGGAGAGCACGAGGCCCGCTGACAGGTGCCTTATGAAACCTTCTTTGTGGAGCCTCTGTTAAAGAGCTGTCCCTTCACCCAGAGCGCTTCCATTTTCTTTATCCATCTCCCTTCCTCTCCTACTTCTGCTCTTCCCAGGGCTTCTGGGTCCCCGACGGCAAAGTCAGAAGTGAAAATAAAGTGAGGGGATCGAGAGGCGGGCAGGGGGAGTCCAGCCTCCGGGCGAGCTCTCTCCTGGTGACCTGCAGCCCTCACCGCGCATTCCCGAAAGCCTTGCCTGTGATCCCAGAGGGCTCGAGTCTTGAACTTAGAAATTAAGTTCTGTCAGGACCACGAGAAACAGCCTGTGTCTTTGAGATGTTAGTTCCCGGTGACACAGGCTGGGTTTTCCATAAATTACTGGCTGCCCCCGAAGAAGGACACACCGGCCGAAGAGCCCTCGTGCTTGGCATCCATCGCTCCAGTTCTCACATTCAGCTCCAAGGGGGCGAAGTCCTGTTTGTATAGAACGGACAGGGCCAAATCACTATGCTCAATATTTGACAAAGGAGGCACGAATATACAATGGAGTCAAGACAGTCTCTTCAATAAATGGTGTTGGGAAAATTGGACAGATACATGCAAAAGAATGAAATGGTGATCACCAACTTACATCATACACAAAAATAAACTCAAAATGGATACAGGACTTAAACATCAGATGGGAAACTATAAAAATACTAGAAGCATCCACAGGCAGCAAAATCTCAGACATATGCCAAAAGAACTTCTTCACTGATACTGCCCCTAGGGCAATGGAAGCTAAAGAGAAAATAAACAAATGCGACTACATCAAAATAAAAAGCTTTTTTACAGCAAAAGAAACCATCAACAAAACAACAAGAAAGCTCACTGTGTGGGAGAACAGATTTGCAAATGTTACCACTGATAAAGATTTAATCTCCAACATCTACAGACAGCTGATACAACTAAATAAAAGGAAGATGAATGATCCAATTAAAAAATGGGCAATGGAGCTAAATAGAATATTTTCAAAAGAAGACAGAAGGAAGGTCAAAAGGCACATGAAAACATGCTCAAAGTCACTAATTATCCGAGAGATGCAAATTTCACACCTGTCAGAACGGCCAACATCAACAAATCAACAAACGACAAGTGTTGGCGAGGTTGCGGAGAAAAAGGAACCCTCGTGCACTGCTGGTGGGAATGCAGACTGGTGCAACCACTGTGGAGAACAGTATGGAGTTTCCTCAAAAAACTGAAAATGGAACTCCCATTTGACCCAGTAATCCCACTCCTAGGAATATATCCCAAGAAACTAGAAACACCAATCAGAAAGGATATATGCACCCTTATGTTCATAACAGGACAATCTATAATAGCCAGAATTTGGAAACAGCCTAGGTTTCCAAACAGTCTCTTCAGCAGATGAAACAGCCCGTCAGCAGATGATTGGATCCAAAAACTATGGTACATCTACACAACGGAATACTATGCTGCCATAAAAAAGAAGGAATTCTCATCATTTGCAGCAACCTGGATGAAAATGGAGAACATCATGCTGAGTGAAATAAGCCAATCAATGAAAGAGAAACACCACATGACCTCACTCATTTATGGATAATAAAGAACATTATAAACTGATGAACCAAAAGATAGATATAGAGACAGTAAAGCAACAAGCAGATTGTCAAATTACAGTGGGGAGGGGAGGGAGATCTGGGGGAGATAATAGATCAACCGAAGGACTTGTATACATGCATATAAGTACAACCAATGGACATAAAACTCTGGGGAGAGAGGGTATGTATGGGAGGGAGGGAGGCAAAAAAAATCAATAAAATATATTAAAAAGAAAAAGAAAATAAAGGAAATTTATTACCTGTAAAAAAAAAAAAAAAAAAAAGAACAGAGATCGAATCATACTGTGCCCCCAGGAAACTGGCCATTTCCCCCAAGAAAGACGATCCCACATGCTGGTGCTCTCTCTGTCCTCCTTCCCCGCGCTGTGTGGGCAATCGCTTCAGATTGATTCGCATTTCAGTTCTCCCGTCGCCAGCTCTGTATGTGTGCTCAATGCTGTGCAAACAGGCAGATGGTGAGCCTTAATTTCCTTGTCTCCCAACGCTCTCACCACCGCCTCCCCGCGCCCTCACACCTACTAGCAAGGACCTCCAAGGACTCCTCGTTTCCAAGACGGGTCATCTCAGCCCTTTGGCTGCTCAGTCTTTTGAACCTTTCTGTTTTGCGTTTCTGTGGGTTTTTGAAGGTTTTGCTGTCATTTTAATGAACTAACAACCTCTGACCAATTTGTATCAGATCATAGATGAGGCTCTCTCTGAGGACGAGGAACGCTCTTCCCACGGAAAGGACGGTGGCCAAGACGCGGACGTGGGTGAGTGCCCGGCCAACCAGCAGGGCCAGAAAGACAAAGCCAGGAATCCTGAGAGGGTGACCGGAAGGAACAGGAACAGCCAGGCCTGCCTTGCTTCTGTCCCCGTTCCTCCCTCCTCCCCCTGCAGGCCTCCTCTCTCAGCCTTCTGTTCCTGATGAGTCTTTCATCTCCTCCCATTCCTCCCTTGCCCCTTCCCCATCCATCCCTCCCCATCCCTTTCCCACCTCCCTCCCAGGGCTGAGTCCCTGCATGTCTCTGCCCCTGCAGCCAGGTTGAGGTTGAGGTCTGGAGCCAGACCTGTGCTCTCACTAGAGTCCAGGTCTGCAGGGCCACAGCCAGAGGCCAGGAGGGACCCTGGGAGCTGTGCGCAGAGGCTGTGCGGTCCCTGCAGCGGCCTCCTGAGCGCCTCCATGATGGACAAGCCCAGCGCCTGACAGTGCCACCCTTGGCTTATTACAGCTTCGTCAGAGAAGACCTGCACCCTGGCCATCATTAAGCCAGATGCAGTCGGCCACGGGAAGACGGATGAGATCATCGTGAAGGTACGGAGACAGCACTCGCCCCACGGGCTGCCCGGGGTCTCCTCTGGTGGAAAACAGGAGTGGGCATCGCGGAGCAGTGTCCTTCCTAGCGGGAAGAGAGCGCTTTTAAGGAGCTCTTACCCAAATTCCATGTAAGTAAATGAAAATGTAGAAATGTAAGCAGGAAAGATACAATCAAGATGAGGATTTCCATGGCTTTTAATGTTGCCTTTTCTATTATCTTTTACTTTTCCACTCATTTAGATGGGGATCTGGGCTTTGTTTACCCCTTCAGAATGTGTGTGTGTGTGTGTGTGTGTGTTCTGCAGATCCAGGAAGCCGGGTTTGACATTGTAACGAGTGAGGAGAGGACCATGTCGGAGGCAGAAATGCGACTCTTCTACCAACACCGAGCTGGAGAGGTCAGCTCGTCCGCTCCACGGTCCAGCCACTCCCACCTCTTCTCTTCCGGGTTTGATTACAGGTTATGAGTTTGGGAGAAAATAGAGTTATTATGAAGAACAAGAATACAATAGGATACTAATGTTGCTGTATTGGTGAAGGCGCTTCGGCCGCAGGAAGAGACTTGGACTCCACCTTAAGTAACGAATAGGGACTTATTGAAGGGATTCTCTGGGAATTGAAGAGTTGAGTGAGAAGGGGTTGGGGAGAAGAACCAGGACAGTGGTAGGGAAGGTCAGGAGCGAAACCTGAGGGGCAGTCATTTCGGGAGCTGGGGTGCTGCTCTTGAACTCGGGGTCGGCCACCTCCCTTTGCATCTGCTTGGCTCATGGGCTTGGGGGAGGGAGCTGGTTGCCTCTCTTGGTCACAGCCCTCGCTCTAGTTGAGGTGTGTGAGCATGGGAGGGATGGGGGTGTGGACAGACATTAAGGTTGTCAGCCAGACGAGGGCCAAATGATGAGGGAAGGGCTGCTCAGGAAGGAAAACCAGAGAGCTGCTACTTGAAGGAAGAGGAAGGATTCTAAAGTACTGCCAACACCCCCCCCCCCCCAAACACACACACACACAAACCCAAAAACCAAAGAAACAAACAAAGCCTCAACTACACCCCACCCTTGGTTACCCAGCATCCATACATAGGATTTCCACATGTGATTTCAAAAACTGCTCCTTACCTAACTTCTTACAATCTCATGTGCAACCTCAAATGAGTCAACCCAGTCTCATCTTCCTGTGCTTAGCTTACCCCTGGTTCCTGTGGGTGTGGGGGGCATCACCCCCACCCCTCCCAGGGGCCCTTCAGGGGCATGCTGGCTGGTGGCAAGGCTGCCCACGGACCCCGCCCATCCTGTGGGTGGGACGGGCCTCCGCTGACCCTCGGGCCGCTCCCCTCCCTGTTCCAGGAGGCATTTGAGAAGCTGGTCCATCACATGTGCAGCGGGCCCAGCCACCTCCTGATCCTCGCCAGGACCGAGGACACCGAGGACGTCGCCGCCGCCTGGCGAGCCCTCATGGGGCCCAGTGACCCGCATGTGGCCAGGAGGGAGCAGCCTGACAGGTGATGTCACCAGCCGGGGTCCCTCTATCCACCTCGGAACCTGCATCCAGGGAAGCGGAGGGCCCCGCCAGATGCTCAGCCCGAATCGTGGATAACACAGGGAATTCTCTGATGGCCACGGCTTCCCTTTGTACTATACTGGGGGAGATCCCGACATCCTCACCCCCCACCCCGTTCCAGTCCCCTGCCCTTCCCCGAATGCCTCCTGTGACTGCCTTCTCTGCCCAATTCTAAAGGCCGCTGCTGGCCCAGGCCTCACTGCTCTCTCACTGAGACCAAAGGGCGGTCTCAGGACCACCTGCAATGCTCACCCAGGAAACACAGATCCCTGCCCCCTGCCACCCCCCCCCCCCCCCCCCGGCCAGCCGAGTCAGAGCCTGGATGGGGTCTAGGAAGATGCACTGCACTCAAACCCCTCAGCGCCTCCTCCCCCCACCTGGGTTCCCTGAGCGTGAGCACGCTGTTCCGCATAGTGTCCTCGGTCTGCTCCTGGCCCCTGTGTGTTTCTAGCCTGACACCACCAATACCAAATGCACCGCGTCTTTCTTTCCTCTGAAGCTGTGCACGGCCCAGCCAACGGGAAAGATGTGAGCCAGAGGCTAAGTAACCGAGGCTGCTCCGGTGGCTGTCGGGGCCTGGGACATTCATGCCTGGGCAGCCTGGGCGAGTGACAGACAGCCCCTCGCTCGATCCCGGCTACCACAGCCTCAGGCACGGCCCTTCTTAGAGTCTGCGTTCCCTCGTGTTTAAAGTGGGGATCTGAGCAACTATCAGGGGGGCTATCGAGTGCCATGGTTAAGAGGCGGAATTCAGAATCTCTCTTCTTCCTCTCATGGTGTGACCCCGGGCTCTGCCTCAATTGCCGCATCTGAAAAATGGGTGCCATAATGCGACCTGCCTCATGCTGATGAGAGGGTTAAATGAGCGTGTATATGTGTGTGTGTGTGTGTGTGTGTGTATAGTGTCCCTCAAAAATGTGACATGCGCTTTGAATAATTATAAAGGCAGTGTTTATTACAACACCTTTTACTTTCAAAATGGAGCTGTCAGCTGTTGAAGTGTGTAGACATTTTTTGGGGGACACCCTGTGTGTATGAAGCTCTTAGGACAGTGCTTGACACACAGGCAGTCCCAGCAATATTAGCATCGGCTGATGGGGCCGCCGAGGGGCTGACCCCTCAGACCGCTCCGAAGCCCTCAGCAGGCGCGGCCCCGGGTTGAGACCTCAGTCAGACGGCAGCCCCTGGGCGTCCACCAGGACCCACCCCACCCCAAAACCGGGGCCCACGCAGAGCCTCCCTCCCGGGGCTGCGGCACGAGGGAGAGGAAGCACCAGGCAGTGTGCCCGGAACGCTGCCCTGGCGGCACGGATGCCCGCTCCCGTGACCCTGGCTGCCGTTCCTGGCGTTTCCAAAGGAGCGAGCGCGAGCCATTCCGCAGAGATGCAGGGTGCCCGTTGGCAGCTGGTGACCGTGCTGCCAGTGGGCAAAACCTTTCTCTTCCAAGTGAAACCACTGTGTTTTGTCCGCGCTGCCCATGCCCGCAGCCTCCGCGCTCAGTACGGCTCGGAAGCGCCCTTCAACGCGGTCCACGGGAGCCGGGACGCCGAGGCCGCCCGCCGGGAGCTGGCCCTGCTCTTCCCCGGCTTCACGTTCGCAGACCACGTCCCCGAGGCCTCGCCGGGTAAGCCCTCCAGGCAGGCCCGGGTTTTATCCATCGTTAGTGAATATACGGGGGGTGGGATGGAGGAGGTTTGGGGGGGGGGGCGGATAGTAACCACGTTTCCAATCGGATGAGGTCCCGCTCCGACAGGAGCAGCCGCAGCCCTCGCCTGCTTGGATGTGCAGTGAGAGCGCGGCTGTTCCATCACATCCCATTTTCTTGCGGCATCCTTACTCTGGAGCCGTATTTTCATTGCCAAGTTTCTTTGCATTTTCCCGTGGAAACCACTGGGAAGATAAGAGCTTTCTGGAAGCCGACACCCAAGCCAGCACCGTGGCCAGATGTCATCCCCTCACTTCCCCCGTTCTCTGCAGGCCTCACGCTAGGCCCTTGGTGAGGTCGCTGAGCGGAGGGTTACACAGAAGGGCCCTCTGTCACCCTCGTATCCCTCAGCCCCCTCACTCTGGGAAAAGCAGACCGGGTCATCGCCTCCACATGTGGGCGAGAAACCTAAGGCGTCCAGAGCGCACGGGACTTACCCCCTTCCACGCGCGGAGAGCCAGGCCTGGCCCTGCTCCTGCTCCTGCGGTCCTAGTTTGAGCCTGAAGGGACCAGGGCGTGAATATCCTGGGAAAAGCAAAGGATGTGAGGTGGGGGGAGGGGGTTTTTGGGAGAAGGCCCCATGCAGATCTGAAAGGGTGATGACCAGTGGGTGCCCAAATGCTTGGGTCTTAACTGATATATTACCTAAATGTTTGCTACGTTCCTCGTTTTCTCAAGATCTGAATGCAGCCAAGTAAGATTAGGTGTTCTGAGGGCACGCTGAGTGGGCAGTGGATTCCAGGGAGTGGAGAAATCCTGTAAAATAGCGAGTTCACACACCGGAGTGCGAGTTGCGATTCCTCAAGGCCATGGCCCTGTGGGAGGAGCTCTGGTGGTCCTTCGGGGCCCACTTTCCTCTGACACCCGCCCTCAGAGCCCCAGGGTCATGGGACAGGGCCGTCCTTTTTGGAGGGGCCAATTGGAAACAAGCAGGTCTCCCTGGGGTCCAAGACTCAAGTATAAGGAGAGCGAATTGGCTGGGGAATACTCATCAGGGTCACTGGCAGGTGGTGGGAGATGACGAGGCTGACTTTTGGGCTTCAAGTGATCCCTGAGTACAGGAGGGGGGTGGGGAGTGGGGGAGAATTCCAGAAGGGCTGAGCCCAGACTGCACCCCGGGAAAAAGCGCACAGCTTCCTGGGGGCATGGCTTTCTTTGCACAGTCTCACAGGGTGCCGGTGTTCCGCCCATTTCTGTCCGTGTCCTGCTGTTTTAGTTGTCAGGAGCAGAGTGTGCTTCTCACTTACCCAGCACTTTTTCTGCTAAGGGGCAAGGGTCAAGGCCACTGAAGACAGGCAATCCAGGGTCTGAATCCTGGCTCCACTAGGTACCAGCTGAATAGCCTCTGGAAAATGATTTACCTTGTTGGTCCTCCGGTTCCTCACCTGTGAAATGGAGATAATGACAGACCCGTTTTAGCCCCATCCTAATACCTCTGCAATAAGGATCTTCCCCACGGGGCTGCTGTGAAGACGAAAGGAGACCATGGGTACTGGGTTCTTAGCCTGGTGCCTGACACATCTTGAGCGCTCATTCTCTTTCATCCCTGGTCCCTGACACACACACACACCAGGGCCTCTCTTGGGCATCCCTTCCACTTTATTGTCTTATGACGTAGCTAGGACCCCCTTTCCTCTGTTTCTTGGTGGGACAGAGGGCTGGGACAGGCTGTTTCAGGAACCCTATAGAGCACCTGTCGTCCCACAGACCTGGAGGAAGGAGTGGTTCCGCCCTCCCCCGAGGATGTGCACTGAGGCGAGGGGCTGCCTCCGCACTGACCCAGGCTCGGCCAGCGAGCGAAATGCCAGTGCCTTCCCATCTGCTGCGCAGAAGGAGAGCTCCAGTATCGGATCTTACTCTTTTGAGCTCCCATTTCTTTTAGTGTCGCTATCTTTCACGAATAATAAAATATAGTTTCCTGCCTTATTAAACAGTATATAGAACATATACTTTGTGTATGTGTGTGTGTGTGTGGCTATTTCTGGAATTTTACAAAATAAGCGGACATTAGTTGTACTCTGCTGTGTTGTCTCGGGGCAGGGGGGGGGGGAACACAGGACAGGGCTTCCCCAAGACACACTGGAACAAATCTACTTTATGAATTAAACAATTCCAGAGCTTAACTTGGTAACTATGCACCTGAAAGCAGTGCCACAGGCCTGGATACGACGCTGCCGGGCCTACGGGCTTGGAGGCAGAGAGGGGAAGCCCAGGCTTAAGGCCTCACGCCACCTGTCCATGCCCCACGGGCAGTCCTGAATGCCGCAGGCTTGCCTCCGGGGCCTTAGTAAATCGGGGCGCTCCTGAAGCAGTGCTTGGGGTCTCATTGGAGCCAGGATCATTGCATTTTCCTGATGCTCCCCTCCCCCCTCTTTTTCGGGTTAGATTCTGGCTGAAGCCTAATTTTAAAACCCGAGAGCTGCTGGTGGCCTCCAGCTTCCACGGAACTGCCTGACTTTGCCCTCCCTCCATGGCTGTGCCCTCGAGGGAAAGCAGTTTTCAGTAAAAAGGAACTACTAGTACCCCATGACCACCAACATGCACAGCCTCCCCCTCTTACCAGTTTGCTCTTTGGTCTACTTGGACATTCACTAAGCCCAGCATCGTCCCTCCTCTCAGAGTGAGCAAAAGGCCGTGTTCTTGGCGTCTCGAGGCCAACGCCAGCGATTTCCTTCTCGTTTGCTGGTTTTCTCCAGAGAACTTCGCTCCTCTGACTTGAGGTTCTTTAAATGGGCAGTTGACCCCCCAGAAGACTGCTCTTCGCGGGCGCTTGCCTTCTGCAGCCTCTGGCACAGGGCGCATGTGCCGGCGCTGGGGGCAGCGGCTGAGCTGAGCTGCCTGCAAGTGGAGACCTGAGCCTCCCGATGGAAACGCGCTGTCCACTGTGCACACCAGCGTCCGTGGGGAACCACGGGGCCCTCCCTGGCAGGGCACGTCAGGGAAGTTGAAGCCGCTGCTGCAGACGGCCGGACCCTGAGGCCGTCATGGGGACACGCTCCTCCCTTTGGGAGCGGGGTCAAAAGGGGGCCTCAGTTGCTCTGTGCCCACAGAGAGCTGGCCAATGCCGTGGAGAGTCACCAGAGCCCTAGGCCTGGTCGTCCACACCGCCGGTGCTGTGCGGCTCTGAACAAGCAGCTTGGGAGCACACCCACATGGCAGCTGTCTGATCTCCCCAGAAGCTGGGAAGCCAAGGATCGTCCGTCACTGGAGAGAAGCGAGGAAGGAAGCAGTGGAGAGAGAAGAGCAGGCAAGAACTGAGCCTGGGTAGAGGAGGATATGTTGGTTCTGTGACCATCTTAAACCTTCCCAGGAAGTGGCTGGGAGAGGAAGGGTCGGGGGAGAGATGGGGGGGGGGGGAGAATGGGGACCCTAGGTCACAGGGCCAGAGGGGGAGGAGTGTTGACACACCCTTCCTTTCTTTATCCAGTAGGGCCTTTCCCCCAGAATTCAGAAGGTTCATGACAGAGGAATGGAGGTGGTGGGAGATGGAGGAGAGAAGGGCCCAGGTCTTGGCTATCAAGTGTCCTCCCTGACCAAGACGGGGCCTGGCTTCCCGGCTTCCTCTGACAGAAGGAACCTCCCTGGGGCTGCAGGATGGCTGCTATCTGGGGTGTGAGTGCCTGAAAGGGTAGAGGGCAGCCCAGCCCATGGAGTCAGAGGGAGGTTCCTCTCAGCACGAGGGCTGAGTGCCTGGCAGACAAGGTCAGGAGCCGGGGATGCTGACAAGAGGGACAAAGGCAGGTGGCTCAAGTGGGCCCCATCTGGCCCTTGGGCTTGGGGTGTCCCTTAGCTTCCTCTGAAGTAGGTCAGGGGTCGAAACTCCCCTCAGGCTGGGAACTGACACGTGCCTCCTTGCCCAGCAACCAGGAGTCAGTGGAAAGGGGCAGGGCTGGGCAGCACCAGCTCTATCGCAGGTGGCAAGGGATCACGCCCTGTCGACTCTCCATCAGGATCTGGGTCAGTCTCCCTTTCGACTCCTCTCTCAGACCTCAATTCCAAGTTCCCTCTGCGACAGGGGAATTCCCTCCTCCTCCCCTGCCAATCACCTCCCCATCTTCCCCTCACGCTCTGGGGCAGGTTTCCAGTGAGACCGAGAGAGAGGGGGTGCTTCTCTACATTCTAGAGGTGGGACGAGCACAGCCGGGGAGTGGGCTGCTGTGGGTCCTTGCAGGGGGACAGCAGCGGTCCATGCACGGTGCAGCTCGTCATTTTCCAAGCGTTGGCCCGAGCCCAGGTGGCATCCAAAGGGGAAGAGGATCGGACGGAGGGGGACACAACGTTGGGGGGGGGGATCCTGTGGCTGGAAATGACCGCCTGTAAAGGGTCTGCTGGCCTTCAGGAGGCCAGGAGAGGGGCCCCCAGAATGCTGCAGAGGCCCCGGGGAGCTGCAGTGACCCTCCGGCACCGGCCATCCCCTCTGAAATGGTTTCTCACTCACCAAGAGTCCCAGGTTGCAGAAGCCAGTACACACTGTCTTCTAACGTCTCCTAGCCTTCTAGACATTTGGAAAACAGACTCCTTTATAGAAGTTGCCATGATCTTTCTTGGCTTTTATTAGCATGTGTTAAAATCATATCATTCAAACACTACCAGGAGAACACGTATTGTTCCACATAAAGTGCTCAAGGGGAAAAAATGCAACTCATTAAATTGGACATTCTTTTCTAGTTCATAGGTTTTGGGTTACAATCAGGGCACAAAAGGAGAAACAGAATGCAGTATTTAGAGAGAGCGAGAAGCTTAGTTAAGAACTTGGGAGAAGACACAAGATCACATCCCATTCCTCCCACCTCTTGCTGACAGAACACTGCACCTGTGTAGAGCAGCGAACAGCTTTGTTTTAATAAATACATTTCCTTCATCGAAACCAGAAAAGTTAATCATAGTAAAGCACTTTTTTCTTTGATCATCGGTTAATAGCCACAGGCAAGATTTACCCACAGAGTTTAAGTGTGAAAGTGTTATTTCATTGGGCTGTTAGCTTCCTAATGCTATCTGGGTTCAAGATTGTCTCAGCAATTCGTTATTGGTTTCTGTATATTTACCTGGTACCTTTAAATACCAGCTCCACACTGTTTTGGGTTACAAGTGCCAAGCAAGGATGTCCTCACCTGAGCACTCTGACAGCTGCACAAAACCTAAGCGCCTGTTGGGACAGATGTTTAAATCAACGGTGTTCTGAGAAAGGAACAACTTGGAAATCTCTGTGTTTGAATCTCACGTGGTCAGGTTGAGAACAGGAAAAATGGCGTTAAATACATTTAAAAACATTCATCTGCAATCAAACATATCTGAATCTTCCAAGGAAGGTTCAGGGTGGTGGCCGGTGCCCGCGATGTGCGCGACCTCATCAGGAGTGGCTGGTGGGCTCGGGACCCTGGGTGGCCTGCGCCCACGGCAAGCTTCTGGCCGCAGACTCCCTTCCTGGCCACAGTGCCTTTGACCGTCTTTTAACAAAGGGAAAGGAAGGCTGGTTCTACCTTCAGTCAAGAGCAATCTCAGTCGAGTACACCTGGAAGCTGGCCCGGCAGGTGGAGCAGAAGGACCAAGCATACTCGCTTGTGGAAAGGACTCCTCTTCGGTCCTCCCAGGGAGAGTCCCCTTCCTTCTAGCTTCAGTGTTTTTGGCTTCTTGCAGGAAAAGATCTTGGCTGCATCTCTCACTAAAATTCCTATTTCATTTTACAAAAGGACACTCAATAGCAGTGTCGCGAAGAGAAGAACAGCTTTCCACACTATCCTGCTCTTTGCTTCTTCCTACAGATGGGTCTGAAGAGCATTCCGGAGTTTCACAGCGATGCGTGCTGCTTCAGGCAGCACAAGGTGACCAGATTTTGTTTCCAGGAAGCGATGAGCTACTTTAGCCTGAGCTGGTTCAAATCCTGCCAGATACTGCTGCAGCAACGGCAGGGCTGAGGGCGGCTGGGAGGCGCTCCGTGCCCAGTTCCTGCCAAGGGCAGCCCGGAGTTATGGCTGGGCTTCCACTATCAGTAGTTATGTTTCCCTTGGATGTTTCAAAAACCTATGGTGACTCTGTCCCCTCACTCTCCTTCACCCTGTCCATCTGACCTGGAAGTCTGAGAGCTTATTGAATTAGGCTGATATTGACGGCAGTAAGATGCTAGCTCACTATTTTGCACAGCACCATATATCGTGCCTGTTATTCAGGCCAACTATAGCCAACCTTTTTTTTTTTTTTTCCTTTGTTCTTTTATAAAGAAAATCTATGTAAGTTGAGGTTCAGAAATGCATATATTTTTTTTTTTACTTACAAATATTCATCTGATCAAAATTCAACATAACCTTTATGGAACACTTAACAATTGTTTTGTTTTTAAAATAACATTTCATTCAAACTGTATATAATTCAGTAAAGTTATTTTATACAGCAAGCAATGCTTAAACCCTGGAAAATCTGTAGAAAAGAGATTTTCACACAAAATAAGAAAAGAAAATTTTGAGGTATCCCCCCAACACACACCCATTCATCGTGACTCATGTGCGCACACACACATACACATACATTTGTGTATGCACAGACACACTCATCCTCACTCACAAAGTGGCTGCAGCATAGGCAAAAAATTGTAGGTTCAAAGGAAAATGATTGATTGTTCTAATAAAAGAGTCCAGGTAGCTCAGAAAAAAACCCCAAAACAAAACACAATAGTCCTCTGAGGAAATTACTACCTCGAAAATATGTTCTCAAGATGAAATTGAGATCTAAGCCTACCAAATTGCTTTTGCAAAACAGCTCCCTGCAGTCCAAGGTGACGTGTGCAAATAGAAGGAATCGAATGAGGCTGGTTCCTGTACTTCCTTTACCGAGGATGCGGGATGCTCGCGGGTGCCCCGGCTGCTCCCGTCACGCCAGGTACTGCTGCAGCGCCGTCTTGGCCCTGAAATCACAGGTTCCTGTTAGCCAGCATCTCAGAAGTATTATTAAGGGGGGAAAGCCTGCAGCTCAAAGACGGTATGAGGGAGTCTAAAATGTTCGATTCCCCAAAGGGGACTGGGTGAGCCCCGCTGAGCACCTGCCCGCAGGGGCAGAATTCTGCAGTCAGAAGACACTTCCAAACCAGGCTGGCTCCATTCCTCTTCTGTGGCTCCCTCACACAGGGCTGCTCCAGCCCTTACAGCTGCTGCAGCCCAGTGACAGTCTATAGTTTTCCTTGCCATTGGCACAGAGTTGCCTGGGACCTGGAATCAGGTTCTATTGCCATGCAGGTTTTACCCAGCGCCACAGGACACTGGGAGGAAGCTTAGGGTTTTGGAAACTAAAATTGACCCAGGAAGGTGTTTAGGTGTTGACTAAAGGTGCACAGAAGGCGCCAGGACGCTGTCATGGTTCCAGTGCCTCAGAACAGGTTACAAGCTCATCTACTTCTTCTCCTAATGACACTGACAATGTGGGATGTACGTTTATTATGACTGGGAAAGAAGGCAACTAGTTGGAGAGGAAAAGATGCAATGTGGGCAGCAACTTGACCTATCCTGATCCTGGAAAAGGTGTCTTCCTTTGAGCTAGAACTGAGGAGGCCTCCTTTACCGCTCCTGTTATGAGCTTTTGGGAGTTAGAAAGTCAGGTTTTAGCAATGGTCTTCCCTTCTATGCTAATGGAGGAAAGGCTAACATTTTCAGTTCCTATTGGCTGATGAAAGTATACCATGTAGGCGAGGCATGCAATAAGCTGGCCTCACGTGCAGTTTCTATAAAGCAAAGTAACAGATATAATCTACAGTTTTAAAAGTGGTATACTAAGGGATATTCCTGTAATTTTCTAAGACTCTATAAAGATGATAGTTACAAATAGACTAACACATCGGAACAGAAAGCTCTATTCAAACTGTCTCTAAGTTATAAGTTGAGTTCTACAAGGAAATTTTCCTATAGAAACAGGGTTATGGCTGCTACTACATCCTACCTCTGAGTGAGCGTATTTTTATGCACAGCCCCACTCTTCCAAGGCCCTCGTTTATCTAACAGGCACCACAAAGTGGGCTCGCCTAAACGAGAACTTTTTAGCTCCCTGTCCCTACCCGCTTCGCTCACTTCTTCACCATCTTGGTCAATGACAAGCCACTATACAGTTGCTTCAGGCTAAAACTCTAAGCAGTTTCTTATTCTCTCTTTCCTGTTGGTACCTTTAGATTAAGTCCTGAATCAGACCACTTCTCAATACTTCTACCACCACCTCCCCCATCTCTTATGCACAGGCCAACAGCCTTTAACTAGTCTCCCTGTTTCAATTTCTGCTCTATCCCGACGATTCTCTCCACAGCCCCCAGAATGATCTTCTAAAAATTCAAATCAGATGATGTCTGTTTTGCTCAAAACTCTCCAATAAACTCTGAGTGAAATCCAAAGGCCTTACTATTGGCTGCAAGGCTCTTCACGTGCTCCCCACCTCCTCCCTGAGCCCCCTTCTATCTCTCTCCCCCGGCTTTGTTTCCTCCAACCCCAGTGGTCTTCCTGCTACTCACTGGACATGTCAAGCTCATTACTGCCACAGGTTCTGCCCCTCTGCCTGGAACACTCTTCCTCTGAACATCTGCCTGGCAGACTCACTTCATCCAGGCCTTTGATCAAATGTCACATTTTCAGAGAGGCCTTATTGACTAATCTGTATGAAAATAAATTTTCTTAACTCTCCAGTCCCTCAACTTGCTTTTTGTTCGTAGTAAATCTCAATTCCTGCTCTTATATTCCATATTTGTTTGCTTACTGTCTGTCTTCTGTACTAGAATGTAAGTGCCATGAAAGTAAGGACTTCACTGATTTTATTCACCGTTATATCACCAATGCCTAAAACAGTGCCTGGCAGAGGTTAGTATTAACAAACAAGCAACTGCCGAATGAATAAGGGTTCAGAGGAGAGGAGACTGAAATGGTGAATCAAGATGAACATGAAGATGTGATACTGGACTGGGTAGGGAGGGTGGGCATGGGATTGGAGGGGGGACGTAGAGGATGAGAAAGGCAGGGCCAAGCCAGGAAGGGCTTAGGTCGTGCCTAAGAGTCTGGAGATGAGAGCTGATGTGCGTTGCTGTAGTCATGGTTATGCACAGAAGTGAGCTGAGAAGTGAAGGCTGCATTATAAAGGAGTAGGAAGACACAGCTAGGAAAAACACTTTTGACCATTTTGAGGCTAGAGGGATCTCTGATTATGATTCCTGACTCTCCCAAGAAAGGGTGAGCTCTTTGACAACAGAGACTCCTCAGCAGCCAGGTCAGGCAGGCAAAGGCAGTGCTCAGGGAGGTTTGGAGGCAATGCTTCATTAATGAATGCCTTCCTTTCTGAAAGCCACATGCATTTCTAGTCTAACGATTAAAGGAATGTAAGGAATGGCCTCTGAATCTTTTCTAGATACCCACTAAGACAGCCCAGACTCATGTTAATTCAGAGTAAGATGAGGATCTTTATTAACTTGCTAATTATTAGTTTAACTAGTGATCTCAAATGTTACACAGTTGGCTCACAGAAAATTAAAAAGGGAATCCAAGAATCTAAAAGGTTTTAAGTTTGGCCATGTTAATTGCTAAGCAATTCAAATTCTTCAAGTACCCCAAAGCAGGCCCTTTCGATACTCACTTGTCACAAAGGTTTGAATCTGGTGACTGACTCAGTTTGTGTAGAATATCTACAATGCCCATGTCTCGTAATTTATCCTGGCGTTCTTGTGAACCTAAGAGATTAAAGCTAACAGGTTACTGGCACATGACCCAGAGAGCTGCTCACCTTAGTGTATAATCAACAACCTGGAGCCTGACTTCACCGGAGTTCTTCACTGTCCCCCCCTTTCCCTTGGCCTCCTCTCTCCCTGTGTATGGACGCCCTCTGGCTCAGATCCTCCAACAGATCTCTAACTGGTTTCCCTGCCTCTCACCCTCCTTCCTGCAGTCCTTCCTGAGGTCTGCTCCTCAGCTAGCTTCTCCATGGACCAGGTCAGCTTCTTTGGCCTGGCACCAGGCCCTCTGTCATCAGGCCCCAGCTTCACTTCTTTCTGGACACACCAAGCCAGGCTCTTCCTACCCCCAACAGGTCTTGGTCTCCTCTTTCTGTTCTCTTCCACCCTCCACTGCCCTCCCAGCACTTCCTGCTGCCTCTCGTCAGCATGTGATAGTTCCAACTTCACCCGGCTCTGGTCTAGCTTCCAACCAGACTAGGACCTCCTGAGGGCAGCCTTGTTTCCCTGGCACCAGACTTGGATTCTAGGGTCTGTACGTTGAATCGTTTCTCCTCCTTCTGCTTTGTTCTGGATACAGCAGCTGAGCAGAGTAATCAGCTGGAGTCCTTCCTTCCCACCGAAGAGCTTCCGTGACTCACTTTTGCACTGATCCCATCTAGACCGAGTAAACCAGAATCTCTAGGGATGGAGCCCAGAAATTTGCATCTTCAAAAGTTCCCAGGGGAGTCTTAGGCAGCCAACCCAGCAATGAGACCTAGTGCATTGGGGGAGTTGGAATCATCTGGGGAGTTTTAAAAACTCTTGCCTGCAGCCCACGCCTCCGGATTCTGATGTAATCAGTCTGTGCAAACTTCCCAGAGGTTTTATTCAACAGCCAAGGTGGAGGACCTCCTGACAGACTGCCTGCTTCACAGTCACACGTACTTTTCATTTCTCACCAATGCACCCCCTTCTCCATTAAACTGATGTGCCCGTAGTCCTTACATGCATTCCTCTGCAACAGTGAAAGGCCTGTCCTCCCACTCACTCCCACCTCCCCTCTTCTTCCAGTGCCTCTCACTGCCTCCTCAGCTCTCTCAGGGCTGGGACTGTCACCTACTTCTAGTGTTGACTCCAAGGTGGGGGCTCAGTGTTAACTGTCCAGCTGACTCAGGCTAGTCCCACAGCTTCTCAGGGCGACGCTGTTCGGACCCAGTGAGCAGTGCCTCAACCCAGGATCTCAGGGGCACCTGCTTCCTTCCCTGAGTGTGACTTCCCTCCCATCATTTCAGAACAAATCTCACCGATCTCTTACCTTCCTCTTCATTCCATATGAGGTTTGATATACAAAACATTGCGGCAAGCTGCAGCTTGATATGTGAATGACCCTATTTGATGCACAAAAGGAAAATAAAAATGGAGGTAATCTCATTTTAGACCATCTTTTTGTGACATACTACAAGCAACCCCAACAGCCTAAAGGTTTTAAGCAAGGACTTCAAATTCAAATGTCTTGAGGGGTCACAAAGTTAGCACTAATGGGTGAATGGACTGGATAAAAAATGGTGGAGAATCTGGCAAATGGGGGAAACCTTGCCAAAACACTCATATTCCAATTTTAGACATCCTCGGCTGGCCACACAGAGCACCTCCAGGGCCATAGGCGCCATTTGTGATTTATCCTTTATTCCACACTGACATGACAATCCTGCGCTTTAGGTTAAGCTGTGCCTTAGACCTATTAGAAAACTTTCAGGCCACCAGAGGCCAGTAAACTGGATGGATGTGCATTTGGTATTTCTCTCTGCAGCTGCTGATAATCTGATTCAAATTACTCTCATTTCTGTAGGAACATCTCCAAAAACTTGGTTTATCTTGAATGTCTCCTATTGTTAAGGAGCCACCTATTTGTCTGAAGCACAATTCTATTTATTTTTCTTTATGTACTGAAAGTACAACCATTTGGATCATTTATCATTTATGCTTTCTCCTAAATGAAAAAGGGCCCAATGGTTGAATGGTCTTTACAAGTGGTTTTCCTCCTGGTGTAAAAAAACACCACCAAAAATACACACACACACACACACACACACACACACACACACACACACACCAGTACATTGAAATAATTTATTCACATCTGAGAAATGCCAGTGATATATGCTAGGGCAGACTTATCTGACCATGCAGGACTCTCTCTCTAATAAGCAGAGACAAAGAAATGGATGTGGCTTCCTCAATTACATTCTATGATTGGTGATTCTTTTCTCCTACAAGCCAAGACTTTTTTTTAGGAGCTGTCTAGCTAGGGCTCCATTGAGACAAACAAAACAAAACTTATCATCTGCTCCTATCCTCAGGCTGTATTTGTTGAATAAATGAACTTGTAGACAGTACAACAATAAGCATTTACTATGTGTAAGTTCATCATTCATGCAAATAAATATGTTTTGAGAAACAAATTGCTGTGATAGAGAAAAGTGGAAGGTGGAGGAGTAGGAACCTAATTTAGGCGGAGTGCACAGAAAAGATCTCTTTGAAGGAGGCGGCATTTAAGCAGAGACTCGAAGATAATGCCAGTTGTACAAAGAGGTAGGGATTAGGGGTTTTGAGAGAAAGGGGAAGTTCCTGAAAAGGTCTGAGGTATGAAGGAGCTGTACAGCTTGTGTGAACTGAGAAAGACAAGTCAGGTCATGTGGGACTTCACAGGCCATCATAAGGAGGATGGATTTTATTTAAGGTGTAACAGGGATTTTGGCTTTTTTCTCTTAATAAAACAAAAAGTGAAGTCATCACTCCTAGTGATGGGCAGAAGGGATGAGGTTTAAAGAATGGAAGGCAAGAACCTATTTTTGTGGAGAATGAGGGAGTTGCGCCAGCCGGTTTGGCTCAGTGGCTAAAGCCTTGGCCCATGCACTGAAGGGTCCCGGGTTTGATTCTAGTCAAGGGCATATACCTTGGTTGCAGGCTTGAGGAAACCCATCAATGTTTCTCTCTCTGTCTGTCCCCTCTCTCAAAAAAGCAATGGGAATCTTTTTTTTTAAAGAGAGAGAATAAGGGTGCCAGCTTGCTGGAGAAACCACAGGAAGGTACGAGGCAGTACTGAGTGCCTATCTGGGTTCTGGAATGAATTTAACAAGAAACCAGCCAGCCTAGTTCTGTACCATTCTCTATAGCTGTCAGCTCGGACATGGCAGGCAAAGAGAACACCGGGGCACCCATGTTTAGGGTTCTGCAAGAAGACAATAACAGTGAAAAGAGCAAGAATGTTTGATAGCCACTTTTTGGCAAGAGGCAGTTTCTGGCGGTAAGATCCAGGGCATCATCATGAGAGGGTTGATGGCTGAAATGTTTGGAAGCAGTTGGCAGATTGTGCATGAAAGTAAACGGACCAGCCCTAACCGGTTTGGCTCAGTGGATAGAGCATCAGCCTGTGGACTGAAGGGTCACAGGTTCGATTCCGGTCAAGGGCCTGTACCTTGGTTGTGGACTCATCCCAGGTGGGGGGGCTGTGCAGGAGGCAGCTGATCGATGTTTATAACTCTCTATCCCTCTCCCTTCCTCTCTGTAAAAAAATCAATAAAATATATTTAAACACACACACACACACACACACACACACACACACACACACACACACACACCACAGAAAGTAAATGGATCAAAGAGGGCTAGGGCAATCCTCCACATAGCCTTGAGGGAGGGCAGGGACTGGGGACGCTGAGGGCCAAATGCTCAGGTCTTCACTGAATAAGAGGGAGGTAATCAAATAACAAGGGTGGGGACTGGGGTGGTGTGTGGTAACCCTGCCAATGGCACAGCTTCTAGCACCTGCTGTTGTTGCTTCTTCTTCAGGACAGAAGAGAGTTCTTGTATTTGTTTGAAGTCCCTGCCTCTCATGTGTGGCTAGTGCAGAACAGTGAAAGGAGACAAAGGCCTACCATGTAATACTTGATTTTCTGCAGGATGTCATCATTGGTCATAATGAGTTCTTTTGCCGTTGTGCCATCTGCGATGTTGGCTAGGATGCACAGTGTCTGGAAAGAACAAAGGTCAGTGATCAGGAGAATGCTAAAGTCCCATGCTGAGTTCTCTCAAATTGGGATTTTCTCAGTTTCCACTTTGAATGTCTTGATTTCTCACTCCCTGGCCTCACTGCCAACCAGCCCAAGGAATCCAAACATTTCAGTGGTTTCTTTCCGGGCATAAACCATCGCTGGGCAAAGGCAGGCATGTCTTATAGTTCATGCTATCACATAAATGAAAGGGAAAACATAATTTAATATTTTCTTGAAAACCCCATTTCTGAGAGAAGCTCATGTTACCCTACAAGGTTTCCTCAAAGGGGTTGCCTCTTTGGTGGTAGCTTCAGAAGTGTTGCAAGTTCCCTACCTCTCTCCAAATGCTACTTGTTCACAAATGAATGACCTCTGGGTGAAGGCCTGAGCCCTGTCCACTAGCCATGTGCAATTAGAACCCAAACTTTTTTGAAACCTACTAGAGGAACACAAAGGGAAACAAATGTGGATTAAAGTTGGAGAAAATTACCTTCACTTCTCTTCACTTTGAGTGATTCCTGACTGACTGTGCTCCTGGACTCAGTGTCATTCCCTTCAAGAAGCATTCCCTGCCTTGTTGGCATAGAGCGTCGGCGCTCAGAATGAAGGGTCTCGGGTTTGATTCCAGTCAAGGGCATACCCCTTGGTGCACAGGACCAACCAGCCAGGGCCAAGGGGGAAGAATTCAAATTTTTCTTGGAAAAATCGGAAGATATTCCTCAAAGAAAGGGAACACCTACCTGTTCTTTGACTTCAATGTTATGCTCCCCTTCCAGAATAAGAGTGACGGCTTGCATAATCTGCTTTCCGTGGGTGCTCATGATTTTATCTATATGCTGCAAAACAATGGGAAATCCACAATTACGATATCACTTGGGGGACAAAGAAAAAAATCCCACAGGAAAGAACAGAGGCTTCTAAATATACAACTATACTTCAAGCATATAGAACTAGATGTCAAAGAATCGTGTTTGAAACTGCATTTTGCCTTCAACATTTTTTTTTGAAGACTTTAGGATGAAAAGAGAGTAGACTTGACTTGACAAAATATGAAATTATAATCACATGGGATCATCAAATGCAAATATATTAAAGAAAAAGTAGGCACATAAAAATGGGGGAGGGAGATGTGGAAGCCAGAGATGTGGCAATCTTTGAGCATAAATGTATAAAGAAGACTAAAAAAACAAATAAAATATAAATAATAATGCATAATATGTAAGATATATTTTTATATAAATAAGAAGATTATGACCATAGATTCAGAGACAGTTTGGTGGTAGGCAGAGGGTAGGGAGAAAAGGGTAAACTGGTGTTTTTCTTTTTAATAAATTGAATAAAAACAAAGTGAGGCATAGAGAAGAAACCACTCATGCTTTTTCATCTACGTGAAAGGCCCCTGACAATGCTGCTCAGGGACCGTTAAGAACAATGAAAGGGTCTATAGAGCGAGGCTCAGCTTCTCCTGCTCTGACATATATCCACTGCTCTCCACACTGACATCTTCAGCAATCAGTCCACTAACTGTGGGCTGGGTGAGTGCGGGGGGTGTCTTTCTCTGGAATGGCCCTAAGAGGATTCTCTAAAGTGAAAGAATCAGAAGTCTCAGATTTAATTCCTTAGGCTGGTAAGAAAACCCAGCAAACAGGTAAGAATAAAGTAACCAATTAAGATAAGCTCATATGCAGCAAGGTGGAAGGAGAAAGAGACAGGACAGGCAGTGAAGGAATGCAGTCAGGTGGCCATATATGGTGAAGCAGCTTCCACAACACCTCTGAAGGTATTCAACTCCTAGCTTCTCTGGGAAGAAGCAGTTTTTCAATCACACTTGTGGGTAGATGTTGCTGGGAGAGGAGGGGAAGGCAATGTTTTGCGATCGTATGCAGAGGTAGCTAACCTGGAAGCCCGGGTGATTTTACTTACAGGCCGAGTAGAAAGGAGATTTCTAAGAAGCCCCAATGTTTTCATCAGCACATTCAAATCTGAATCCGATAATAACCGGAATAGCTGCTCGGTACTCAAGCTTCGTAAAATATCTGCTTTTATTTTTTGTTCAGCTTGAAATGCCATATTCTGAAAGGATTAAAGAAATGTCAAGAATCATGTCTACATTTGCTTTATTAAATTATATTTTTAATAGTAACTCTGGTCCTAGCTGGTTTGGCTCAGTGGATAGAGCGTCGGACTACGGACTGAGGGTTCCAGGTTCGATTATGGTTGTGGGCTTGATCCCCAGTTGGGGGCATGCAGGAGGCGGCTGACTTTTCATTCTCTCTCATCATTGATGTTTCTCTCTCTCCCTCTCCTTTCCTCTCTGAAATCAATAAAAATATTTTTTTTAAGAAATAGTAACTGATTATTTTCAAAGTACTAATAGAATCTGTAAAAAAAAAAAAATCCTTAATTATGTCACATTATTTTTCTGATTCCTGTTAATTATATTCTGTCTGTCAAGAGAAAGATACTGTCACTTCTATATATATTCCTTTATTAGTAATATGATGACTTTCTGACACAGCCAGTTGAGTATCTTTAACATTTCTCAAATAAATACAAAATTCATTATTACTTTTGAGAATATCATGGTTATCACATTGCCTTCTGTGTACTTTAATAACAAAATGACTATTAACAACTATACTGTGCTGAAACCGGTTTGGCTCAGTGGATAGAGCATCGGACTGTGGACTGAAAGGTCCTGGGTTCGATTCCGGTTAAGGGCACGTACCTTGGTTGCGGGCACATTCCCGGTGGGGTGTGTGCAAGAGGCAGCTGGTCGATGTTTCTCTCTCATCGACATTTCTAACTCTCTATCCCTCTCAATTCCTCTCTGTGTAAAATCAATAAAATACATTAAAAAAAAATAGAGTTCATGAGGGCTGGTATATGTTCATATATTTAAAAAAATAAAAACAAAACAAAAAACCCCCCAACTATACTGTGCTATGAATTTTGAAAATGACTTAAAAGTATTTGTTTATTACGTATAACCAATGGACACACATAATAGTATGGTGAAGGCCTGGGTGGGGCAGGAGCTGGAAACAGGGGGATAAAGAGAAAGGGACATCTGTGATACTGTCAACAATAAAATAAATAAAAAATATCAAAAAATTATTTTTAAAAAAAAAAGACACAAAAGTGCTTTGTAAAGTAGGTAGCTCTGTCCTAATGGGTTTTTCTCAATGGCTAGAGCACTGGCCCTCAGATTGAAGGGTCCCAGGTTTAATCCCCAGCTCCCAATTGTGGGGGCATGCAGGAGGCAACCAATTGATAGGTCTCTCTCAGATTGATGTTTCTCTCTCTCTGTCTCTCCCTCCCCCTTTCACTCTCTCTAAAAATCAATGGAAAAAATATCCTAGGGTGAGGATTAACAAAAATATAAAAAAGGTAGCTCTATACAGATATCAATATGTTCATAATGAAGAAAATTTGTTTTCCAAAATGAGTTTAAGTCAAGTTTCAACATCTGTCCACTTTTCTCATTAATAGAATAAAGGCACACAATGGCCAAGCAACTTGCTTATGTTTAAATCTGAAAACTGCCCTAACTGGTTTGGCTCAGTGGATAGTGTCAGCTTGTGGACCCAAGGGTCCCAGGCTCGATATCGGTCAAGGACATGTTCTTTGGTTGCGGGCACATCCCCAGTAGGGGGTGTACAGGAGGCAGCTGATTGATGTTTTCTCTCATTGATGTTTCTAACTCTCTCTCCCTCTCCCTTCCTCTCTGTTAAAAATCAATGAAATATATTTTTTTAAAATAAAAAATAACATATCTGAAAGCTGAATATGGAGTCTGCTAGGTCATAGGTCTTTAGAAAACTGAGACTAACCAAAGAATTTATATGCATATATGAACAGCCCATAGACACAGACAACAGTGTGGTGAAGGCCTTGGGTAGATTGGGAATTGGAGGGAGGGGGCAAAGAGGGGAAATAGGGATATTTGTAATACTGTCAACAACTAAAGATAACTAACTAAAAGTAAATAAATAAATAAATAAATAAATAAATAAGATAACTAGGCTAAAATAGATAAGTTTTGTGTGGTTTTTTTTTTTAAGAGAAAACTCCACATTTCAAATAGTACATTTTTTAGTTTTAACTTTGAAAATAGCTTTATTCTCTGTAAATGATGACATACATAAAAGAGTGAAACGTACCATAAGAGCCCAAATTCCATTCACTCGTAAAGCAGGGTTTTCACTTTGTGTTAATCCACAAAGTAGCTCTACGGCTCCTGATTCTAATATTGGCTGCCGTTGGAAAGGGGGGAAAACACAGGCTTTAAGTCAGGTTTGTGAACGAAATGTGTACATACCCTGGCACTCTGCTTATGATTTTGTTTGCACTCTTACCCAAGTCCAAGCAACTTTCACAGAGCAGGGAGTGAAGTGGCCATAAAAATCACCTTGAGAAGGGCAAGGACAATTATTCTCTCTCAAATCTAAAAACACAAACAATCCCTGTCATTTCCTGTTTTTCTAGTAGTCCTGAAAGACTCAGGAGATATCCTTCAATCTGTACATATCACACACACACATGACTCCATTACCTAGTTCCACAGGCTCAGTCTCAGCATCCTCTGAGAGTTTTGCGTAGGCATAGATCTCACTATCTCATGTGTTGTTTCCAACCTGACTATGAAGTGATAGGCTGATTTATAATGGAACCTAAGATAAATTATTCTCCTTCCAAATTATCAATCTTATTCCAAACAGAATTCATCTTTTAGAACTACTACTTTCAGGACTATTTCTCAGTGATACAAGCAAAATAAGTCTTGTACTTACATTCATACTATGTTTTATACCTAAAACAGCACACTTTTAGCCTGATCACTTAATTTATGATACTTAGCTAAAAATGGGTTTTGTTAATTTTATAAAAATTCAAATCCCAGCCGAAACCGGTTTGGCTTGGTGGATAGAGCATTGGCCTGCATACTGAAAGGTCCCAGGTTTGATTCTGATCAAGGGCATGTGCCTTGGTTTTGGGCACATCCTCAGTAGGGGATGTTTAAGAGGCAGCTGATCGATGTTTCTCTCTCATTGATGTTTCTAACTCTCTATCCCTTTCTCTTCCTCTCTGTAAAAAATCAATAAAATATATTTTAAAAAAAATTCAAATCCTAAAGGACTGATTTATTATCACCAATGAATGCTTAAAAGGCCATCTTTAAAGTGCATTCTAGAAATGGCTTAAGCAATTAAATTTATATGCCAAGAAATAGAGCAGTGCCTTTCATTATGACATTTTTGAAGGACACACATTCCTCCACAAATTGTGGTATTTTTTTAAAGAAAACTTTATTTTCAACTAAGTTCAAACTTATAAAGTAACAAGATTAATACATGGAACTTACATATATTCTTTTCTCAGATTAACCAACTTTTAACATTTTGCCATATTATTTTGCTTAATCACGACCTTTTTTCATTCTATATACCCATATTTGTATTTTTAAATCTTTTCTGAACCACTTGAAAGGAGAATGCATACATCATGCCCCTTTACCCTTACTACTTCAGTGTTTACTCTAAGAACAAGGATGTTCTCTTAGAGAACAGAGCTGCAGAACAATCACCGAATTCAGAGAAGCTACCATCAAAACAATATTTTTATTGAATACTGAATATTTATAGTCCATATTCCAATTTTGTCACCTGGTCCAATAATGCTCTTATTACACTTCCTTACCTTCCAGTTCAAGATCCAGTTTATTACTTATTGAAATATAATTGACATACATTAAATTAGTTTCAGGTATAAAACATTATTCAATGTAAGCATGTATTACAAAATTACAAAATGATTATCATAAGTCTAGTTAAAATTCACCATCACATATAGTTACAAGTTTGTCCCTTGTGATGAGAACTTTTAAGATCTACTCTCTTAGCAATTTTCAAATGTATAAGACAGTGCTAACGATAGTCCAGTTTATTTTTAATACGGAAAACCAACTGTTTTAGTGATCCCATTCCCGAGCTCATCTACCTTCCTGCATAACCAAACCCTAAATATGCTGAAGGTGAATCTGAGGCCTCACAATAGCTATGCAGGATGACTAACGGTTTCACACTGACTGCAACCAGACCGTCATCAGATCCAGATCCGCGCCACCAGGGCAGAGAACTGATGGAAGCCCTGGCATCTTATCTCGCCTTTGTCATCCTTCCGAATAACTGCCAGTCTCTCCCCTTTTGTTCCAAGATTATCGCTGGTGAATAACTGTCTCTGAACCTCCACCTTGTTACTAAAGCCTTCCTAATTACCAGTCAGAAGCCTGTAGCTATTACATTGCAGACAAATAGTTCAACCAAACTGGGTCCACTAAATGCATAATAAAGGGCAGTGTCTAAACCTCAGTTCATGACTGGCAGACCAGAGATATTTTAACATGATAAAATTATCTGGATAAGGTTTTCTCCTTCCTTTATTAAAGTTGATTTTAATTTTCCCTATAGAAATAATACATGCTCAAATAATTTATAAAATGCATAAAACAAGGGAAAAATATATACACATGTAATTCTTCCTCAAACAACTACCATTAACACTAAACACCAAAAAGATTATTTTTTGGCCCTGGCCGATTTTTCTCAGTGGTTAGAGCATTGGCTCTAGGATAGAAGGGTTACAGGTTCGATTCTGGTCAAGGGCACATACCTCAGTTGCAGGTTCAGTTGGGGTAAGAGCAAGAAGCAACCAATCAATGTGTGTCTCTCTCTCTCACATTGATGTTTCTCTCTCCATGCCCCCCCACTCCACTCTCTCTAAAAATCAAGGGAAAAACACCCTCACTCCTAAGAGGTGAGGATTAAAAAAAAAAAAAAAAAAAAAAAAAAAGATTATTTTCTGATGCCAGCAGAAATTACTTATAATCCTAGTTTTACAAAATTGTCTTAATTTATTCCTTAGTAATGATAGTTTGAAAATAGTCTATTATTTGTGTATTATTTCTTACATTTATAGGCAGTTTAGAGTGAATGCAAATTATAATATCTTTAAATAATCTGAATATGCACGGCAGAATAAAAGGGATAACAGAAAATTAAAACAATCATATTTAAAAATGATTTTGCTACCTTCCTTCTTGCAGCATCAAAAGTAGTTTTTAAAACTAGTCTTCAAATTTCAATGTCAACTATGATGGAAGTTATTTGACTAAGCCCCTGGTAGGACCAGGCAAAGTCTAGGAAGAGAAAATCAATACTAACCTCTTTGCTTGGAGAAAATTCAAGAAGAAGATTACATAGCATGGAAGATGCTACTACTAAGATTTCGTCGGGTGCATTTTGCAAAACCTAGGGAATTAAAAAAAGGGGTACTATTAATGGTTTGGAAAGAAACATGGAGGTGAGATCATAAGAATGAGGAAAAAACCAATTTGTCTTTCATCCTGATTTCTCCTATTTGAGAGCTGGTTAGGAAAGATGGACCTGATATTGTGTGAACCTTTACCTAGTGCTATAATTCTGACTGCGGCCCTCACACCTGTCTTCCCGGAGAAGCTCCAGCCCCACTGCCAGGGTGGGAGGTGCTGTGCAAAGAAGACAGACAAGGCAGGGAAGGGTGCCCCATGTAAAGGTTTAAAGATGGGGGACTGCTTTGGGGAAAAGTTAGCACTTTCTACTTCATTAACTTGGGTCACTTATGAAACCCAAAATTGCACTAGGGCCCAAGCTTTGTGATGTGTCCCTAGAACGTGTCTGACCAGAAGCACAGGTGGACTAAGCTACTGCACAGGCCAGGTAATGCGGGGATGGAATCACATAGCCCTGGTTCCGACTCTGACTCCTCCACTTACGAGATGTGTGTACCTTCACCTCTCTGAGTCTTTGAGTTGAGGAATTAAAGAAAACAACACTTTGTTTATAGGACTGTTTAGGAAGGAATGTGATATAGTGAATAAATAATAAGGGAAGCATAATGGCAAAAAGTTAAGAACATAGACTGCCTGAGTGGAAATTTCAGCCCAACCACTGAATGGATATATGAATTCCTTGGCTGTCAAATGGGGATAATAATAGTATCTACTTTATAGGGTTGTTGTGAGAACCAATAAATGAAAAGATTTTAGACTAGTAACTGGCACACAGAATTAATATAAGGGTTTTAAAAAGGTAATTTATTGCCATAGTTTTTGTTGTTATCAGGCATAGAGCAGGTCTAGAGCAAATTAAATGCCATACTTTCACTCAACTCTGAAGACAACAACATGATGACAAATGTTAGCCACCATTAGCTATTATCAGAACCTGTTCTTTCCAATTTCTAAGACAGAAGGCTTCATAAACACTACCACTTATATGCAATAACCACTCCACCTAAACCTTTTGCATTTGGGAGCAAATCCGGATAAGGCTTTCATCCCAAAAGGAGTCCTAAGAGCTCTCACTATACAAACTGGAAATGGAGAATCACAAAACCAACCAACCAAACAAAAACACACCAAAAACAACCACAATTAAAAAAGAGTTAAGTATATTATCTGCTTTCTTCAGTTAAATTAAGCCTGAAGTCCCAAGTTAAGAATAAGCAAGAATTACAAAACAGAAGCAGTTCTCCTAAGATACTGTATTTAATTTTCCTGTGACTTGTTAGCTAGTTGACAAAGATAAATCTCCGGTTATGCATGCTGATCTCTGTCTGCCATGACCCCCTCTAAGACACTGTTGACCTTCCCTTTCTGCATCTCTCAGGCGCACCCCACACCCATGCTGTAAGGCCATCTTCCTCCAGAAGCCTCCGTGGAGCCCTTCCAGTCAGAAGCCATTCTATCCTCCCTGTGCCACTGTTTATGGCCTCTTGTAAGACCCTTATTACCGTCCACACTGTTCAAATTCTATGTGTAGACACGCCAACCCCCTTTTCTATGAACAAATTTCAGCGTCTGAAGAATAATCTACAGATCTATGATCTAATTTACCCTGGTCTGAATGACACTGCACAAAATGGGTGCTCAATGAATGTTGGCAAAATAAGAGCAATAATAATTTCCCAAAATTACACTACTTAGAATCACTGGTTTAAATAAATTAGTGCGTACCAAGGCTTTAAAAAGTTGCTTTGCTTCATGATTCACTTTTAAAAATATTTATTATTTTATAGAAGTTAATGTGCCTTTATCAAATTTTTTGTCAAATTAGATAACAATAAATGATAAATGAAAACAGAAGAGTCTGTGAAATCGTAAAAGTATTTCCTAAATGTAGTGTAAGACAGCGAGAAATTTGGAAGTTGACCTCTCACATTGACCAAATAGAATTTCATCAAAATAGTTACAAAAAGTAATCACAAATAAAAATTTTAATTAAATTCAAATGGCTATTCTCTTGTGGTTTGTTAATTAAAAGAGGGAAAAAAATCAATAGACACACAAACAGACTTTGAAGAGGAACTGAAATATCTAAAATAAATTATTGATCTACTTTTGAGCTTTTAATAGTATCTATACTTTAAAACGGCAACAAAGTAGTAGTTTGATAGTAATTATACCCACTTGTACCCAAACTCACAAAACCCTTTCAGATTGCTCCAACTGAGCCACATCAACCATGGCTCCATTTAAAGAAAAATTAAATATATTTTTTATTGATTTCAGAGAGGAAAGGAGAGGGAGAGAAACATCAATGATGAGAGTCATTGGTCGGCTACCTCCCGCATGCCCCCTACTGGGGATCAAGCACGCAACCTGAGCATATACCCTGATCAAGTATTGAACCATGACCTCCTGGTTCATAGGCCGACACTGAACCACTGAGGAACACAGGCTGGGCCAGGGCTCCATTTTCAAATCATATGAGAGAGGGGTACTTAGCTGAGCAATCAGAGAAATTGGCTCCAGAAGAAATATTTAAAAGTTATCTTGGGAAACAGGGCACAGTTAAAGAAAATCGTGAATAGATAGAATCAATAAATAAAGGGTAAGCTGCTATGAAAAAGGTGCACTTTAAGGACAAGAAAGAGTGTCAATAGGAAAATCACTCAAATGTAGACAACATTGGTCTAACTCTTCATCTGGGGCTCCTATCCCACCCCTCTACTTCCTGCACACACCAGCAGGTACTGCTTCTGTTCATGCTGCTCCTCTCTCTAGCTAATCCTCCTGCCTTCCTTTTGCCTTCAAAGTCCACTCCATACTTCTCCTGCCTGGAGCCTCCCCCGACTATTTCTACTGTAACCCTGAAGCTTTAAGCTGAAGGCAAGAGCTCTACAGTAAAAACAACAGGTAGCTTTCCTATGCCCAGAGGCTTTCTTAGCAGGTAGTAAAAAAAACAAAAAAACAACAACAACCATAAACAAAAAAATTCTGTTCATTTAAATGCAAAGAAAATATAAACAAAAAATTCTATTCATTAAACTTGCATTTACTTATTAGCATATTCTAAGTCTCAATTCAGATTTAATTGACCTGAAAACATTATTCCACCTCAAGAAAAGACCTAAGGCCAAAAGAAGTTAGAAAAGTAGGAGGCAACAATTGTGTTAAAAAATGTCAAGGGAGTGACAAAAGACTAAGAACAGATTATATCTGTAAATGGCTGAGACCTTTCCTTTTATAACTAAAAATTACAAAGATGATTCTAGGGGTAAGTCCAAAGTGTAACACTACACACAGGGAGAGCAGATGAGTAACTCAAGCTGTAGTTAATAATAAAAGAAAACCACGCATGCACTTCCCTGTCTCACGAGATGCTGACCTCAGAGACACACTCTGCAGGGGTAAAGACGCTTAGAACATGAGATTTGAGGAAGTGACTGCTCAAAATGCCCCACACAAAAGTCACACCTACTCCTAGGCCACGGAATGCCGGCAGCTGCCTCAGCTCAGTGAGGGCTCTGTGGGAAAGGGTGTTACTTGCTGAGCCTTCCTTTCCTTACCTTCATTAAAGGTTTCCACACGGCGTGATCCTGGAAACTGGTTCGAAGCTGCTGCACAGATCTAGATAAACTGTGCAAACATCTACAAAGAATAATCAAAATTAGCTTTACAAGAAGCTGAAACTTACACTTTTCAAACACGCTGCTTGGCATCTCACAATTATTAATATACACTTCAGGTATAGCCACAGACATTATTAATTCAACTACTTCGGAACACTTGGTGGGCTTTCCAGGCTAGCTTCTCGGTTTGAACGTTACACACTGAATTCACCTGAGCAGACTTTCGAGTAACACCGGGATTCTGTGCTTACTTGGTGAAGGTCCGGGAAGGAAACAGGTTAAACACATGGCAAGGGGTTTTTATTCAGACCATTTAAAGCTCATACCTGACAGCAGCTAACCGCACCTTGACACTAGACTCAGACAAGCCAGTCACAATTCGGTCCATCATATTTTCAGTCTCAATGATCTGGAGAAAAAGGTTAATGCTGCATAAATAACAACACAAGATGACACGCTTCACTGCTTGTAAACGCAAGTAGGCTGGCGTCACTAAAAGCTTAATGTTGGCTTTAGTGAGAGTTTTTACCTCTGGAACCATCAGTTTGTGGTGGGGGCAGGCGTCACATCAGAAAGGTTGGACTATCCCCTAAGGACCTGCCAGGCTGAATGACAGGCATAGGGGCCGATTATGTTTGGGTACTTCCAGCTCAAAGCTCTTGCACCTTGAACCAGAAATTACCTTCCCTACCTCTTTCTTGCAGCTTTCCTCTGCCCCACCCCACTGGTTCCTTTCTCTTGGCCTGTGCCCTGCTACCTGCACCCCTATTTAAAAGGCGTAAGTGCTCCAACTGTAATCTCTTTAAGTTACAGTCCTCACTCCCCTACCCTTCCTTAAATGGACATGTGTTCCAAGGCTTCATTCTTCGCTCACTCTGCATATAACAAATTTGCACCTATTCCATACAGAAGCTACCTACAAAATAAAACAGTGAAATAGTACCTATGGCATGGCATCATTAACTCTGGAAGCTAACTTTCTAAAATATTAATCTACAGTGTAATCATATCTAGACAGGTCCCTTAGAAAAATTTTCAATTGATGCAGAAGTAACATAAAGATTTTGTGAGACAAAATGACAAAACTCTGCAACAACATATTTTAATACTTTGGAAGCAGAAAAGTGAGATCACTGTAAATAAACTTCTTCATAGGAGATAGATTCTTCCAGACTTGTTCAGACAGCGTATTTTAATTAGAGTCATATCTTAATCATATCTGGGTGTATCAATCATGGCAAAACTGGTTTTTAGTATAGACAAGACTAACACACACGAGGCTCTGGAATTACTATCTAGCAATTTAGTGTCTCATCTCCTTAGCTATTTTGTACTGTAAGCTCCTATAAGATACACACCAGTATTCTGCTTCATTCCTGGACACACAGGAGGAAGTATGTCATAAATGCCAGATGAAGAAAAAGATGTAATTAAAGCATCTCATTACCCACTTTGTACCAAAAAGTATGTGAGAGAAAATATATTTTTTCTTAATCTGATGTTTTGTAACCAGCTAACAAAATAACCAATCTGTACTTCATACTTAAAACAAAAAACAAACAAACAAAAAAACCTCCAGGAATTGTATGTAATTCAATGGTTTATGCAATGACAATATTACAATCAGTAGTGTAATACTCAATGTTATGTCCCCATTTAATGAAACTCTAAGATCAATATGCATTACTTGGTTTTATAAATACCTCTGTTTTGTACCTAGCATTATCAGTCCCAGGTCTGCTTCTTACAGTACGCAGAAGGCCAAGGGTCTCAGTACCGTGGGCAAGTGGCAAAATCTGGCCCTGTCATGATTAACTCTTTAAAAATACTTACCATCATGAATGAATGCTGCAGAGATCATTTACAATTCTTTGGTAGGTTAGCTTTAAGACGATAACTAACAATTCTACCACAGATTAAGTCCATGGGTTCTGAATTCTGAATGAGTTTGTTGTTATTCAGTAACAGAGTCGAGTCCTGAAGGGCGCTACTTCTGTGGTACTGTGGAAAACCTTCAACATGTTCAAGCTGTTTGTTTCAACTTGCAGGCTAAAGCTTAAAAATTGCTCCTTGCATCTGCCTCATTTCATGGCAGAGACATACAAAATTTTGACACCGTGCCTTTTAAATTACCATTTAGAATTATTGCACTTTGTAAAAATATTTAAAAATATAAATTCATGGTATAATCATACCGTTACCCAGAACACTAACTAGTAATAAAATCAACGTATAACAAATCATAAAAATGTTAAAAATGTTTTATGAAATACTTAGCAAGTTTCTGAGGTGGCAGAAAGATATTTTAAAAAAATTGACCTAAATTTAAAAATATACTTTAAAATCTTATAACTTTAAAAACATAGAAAATAATTTACATTTGTTCAAATTTTGAACATGCATATTTAAGACAGGGCTTCATATGAATAATGACTCTTTGGAGAAATAACATCTATGGTAACCAGGGACAGTAATACTGTAATAGATAACCAAAGTTAAAATTTGGACTCCACACTTTTCCTAACTTATTTATTACCTCTGAATTCAACCAATTATTGATTTATATTGTATATTCTATTTAACTTAAAAAAAAAAAAAACCAAAATTTAATTTGGTGCTTTGAAGGGCATGCTAAAGCAAACAAAAAGTTTTGAAAACCAGAAATTTAAATATACTCTAAGAGAGTAAGAAGACATATTGTAATTAATAAGAGGTAAGCTAAAGAAAGACACTCTAAACTTCTTAAGTACAAATATTCTTTTCACTATAAAGAATAACTAACTAACAGAACTGGAAATTTATAGCATAAAGTCACTATCTTCATTGCAAACCTTTTTTATTTATGCCCCAACGTTGCTCAGTGTTTCTAGTACAATTTAAAACATATGTATTTATTTTTAATCTTCCAATGAAGTCATTTAAGACATTCTAATAAATGCTTCCATTTGTTGAGCACCATATTAAAGATTTTAAATACATTGTATCTTCATCCTCACAATGACCCTGCAAATATAGTTTCTTTGGAAAAAGAAGGTAGAAGACAAATTCTTGTTTTTAGTGTTTGTTTTTTTTAAACTTTTTTATTTTTTCCTGCCTATACTGCTTAAAAGAAATTGTTCAATTTAAAAGGAAAAAAATATTCCATTCTTGACTATCTTATTCACGTAATATAAAACCAGTGTGATTAGATGACCCCCTCCCCCTGTAAGAAACAAAAGTTAAGATTTCATGTTTTCACTCTTGAAAATATGAAAGGCAGGTATAAAACAATAAAAATGACAAAAACATTAAATTATTAATTTCTCCAAACTGATCCAAGAATAGTCCCATTGAAATCAACATGTCCATTCTAATTGTTTTCAAATAATTCCTTAAGCCCCTAGCAAATTCTTGCTGGCCATTCCTTCCTGCTCTCTGACTTACTGAGGTTTTATTATAAATGCTGAGTTGTAAGGCTAAGTCTTATGGCTCTTCATCTCACTATACTGCTTTCCTTCCTCCCTCACCCATTAGACAATATTTACACTTTACAGAATAGGTTGGTTTCTGAGTCAGGCTAATTTCTATAAACCAAATCATACTTTTATCCTTAGGAAAAAAATGGATCCAGATTCACATTTGTGAATAATATCCATTATTTTTAAATCACACATTTAGAAAGGAAAAAAACTAAAAAAAAAAAAAAAAAAAATGGTAAAAATTTTTTCAAAATTAAACAAGTACCATGCTATAAAATATGTTCTCTTTGATCTAGTGAAAAGACATGTCCTTGTGATTGTCTGCATCTTGAAAAAAGAGAATTTCCTGCACTTTCTTTATGCTAAAGTATAGTGAAATACCTTGTCTATATGATCAGATTTTATTTTTCCTATTTAAATCTCTTTACATAGAATTGCTAATAAAATTATAAATGCTCTTAATGTATGAAGGCCCATACATAATTTGTTTAATAATGTAATTTTGCAATATGATTCATTCGCCTATTTGTCCATTCATTCATTCTTCAAATATTTACTAAGTGCTGTCTATCCATCTGGCAGTGTTGTAGATGCTGGGAATACACTGATGAACAATACATAAGAAAATCCCTGCCCTCATGGAGCTTACATTCTAGTCCTTCAGAAGGAATGTCCAGCTGAAATATAAGTACTCAAAATCCAAGAGGAAAGCTTTCTGAAAGTCTCCATTAGTAAGATACCTCAAAGGAGCAAAGGCTACACTAAGTACTTCTTTTAAGATTTGCAATGTATTTTATTTTTATAAAAAATAAAAATAACATCCTGTTAAGTTCATTAATTTCCTTGAGTTAATTTATACTTACTATTTCTAGTTTTCCTCAACTTATACTTTCTAACTAATAAATTATACTAGTTCCTTAAAGAGAGTAAAGAGAGAAAATCCTTTAAAATTTCCAGCCTAATTTATGATCAACAGGTACCAAACAAGTAGTGATCTTCCTAAGAACAATTCTGTTAGAAAAGAATCGGCCTCACAGTTACAGGACTGCTTGCCCTGCTGCCCCTGCATGACTTGACCACTGGCTGGGGTTATGACTGAAAATACCAGCACTTGAAAGAATGTTGGGTATCTTAACTTCCTTCTTTTTTACTGTCCCATTAACTAAACTTAGGCTTCCCAGTCAGCATTAACATGTGGTCAAGGCCATTATTAAAAACTAGACTTTCCCCCTGGCAGAGATTATAGCGAATTGTGGTCACTGCCAATGCGCTCTGGATCTTTCATACATTGAGTACTCAATTCCTACCTCTGTCCTTGCTTAACCTAACAAATTCTTGAATTATTCTATGTTGAATATGGCCAGGCAACATTGTCAAGCTCAGTGGTCCATCTTTTCTTAGACTTATCCCCTTTCATGTCACAGCCAATGATAATGTTTTCTACTCTCATCTGCAGAACTCTTCACATTCCTTCACTCTCTTGACAGGACACCAGAGGAAGTCAGGAAATTTGTAAGTATGCCACAGAGTGATAATGGATGAAATGCTGGGAATTAGAATACCAACTTTGCTCTGCATAAGATACAGAGAGATCCGGGCATATTGAAGGAAATGTCACTCTGTGTTTGATTTCTGTATTTTCACTTCTATATTTATTCAACAAATACTTACTGGGTGCTTATTAGGTTCCAGGAATTGTTATATATTGATATCTCTTAATGGGAATACACCAACACTGCTCCAGAGCAGCAGTGGTATATCTCTGACCCACGGGTCATATCTCAGCCTTCATCTTAATGTCTGGCCCAGAGAAAAGGTATAAGAAATGAAATCACAGAAGGTCTTCAGTAGCAAAAAGATAGAAACATAATTCTAGAAACAAAGAAAGAAGGCCTGTATCTTTCTTCTTTACAGCGGGGTATGGCTCTCATTGTCAACCTCTTATAGCTTCAGTTTTTTCTTCTTCATTCTGCTTCATTTCCTGAACTGATCATAACAGGGCAATGGAATATATGTTATACCCTGTACTTACTGAATTGCATTCCCATTTTCAGTTTAAAAGGCAGACCAACTGAACATTTCATATTTTTATCCTTGTGTGTGTGTTGTGTTTTATTTTTTTTTTGGGGGGGGGAGGAAATAGCTCTATGATCCTTGAAATTTCTTTCAAAGAATCTTCCTCATTAACTCAGTAAACTAAAATTCCATCTTGACAAGCATAAATATTGCATTAAAAAATAAAAGAACACTATTTCATGAAAATAAATATAATCAAAGTTAATAAGGCATAAGTGTAAATGGTAAATATTTCATAGAGAAGTAAATAAAAATATATACAAATAATTGTGTCAACAAAAAATGGAACAGAAATAAAGGCATTCAACGGAAAAGGGTCACTGCCACTTTTTTATGCACTGAAAATAAGAATTCTCCACTCCTAAGAACCATTTTCATGTAGATTTTATCACAATATAGCTTATATTTTCCATTTTACAATATCCCTCTTCAGTAGTTACTATGAACTGTAAATTATTCAATTGCTTCATATCTCCAAAAATTAAATAGCTTCCTTAAAACTCTATATATTCCCCATTATAAAGAATATCACAGTATCTTTTCTTCACCACACAAAAAAGCTATAATAATAATAACTTATTCTTTATTTGTCATCTTTCTACAGAAGTTATCAGGATTTAATCTTTCCAGGAAATTATACACATTATAAATACAACTTTTAATAGACTGATCATCAGACTGTTATATTATATTTCTAGAACATGATATCACAAATTAAGTCATTAATTCCAAAACAACAGTTTATTAACAAAAAAGTACAAAGAAGTACAAATGGACATCCTATTTCCCCCTTTATAGTCCATCTATCTATCTCCCTTTCAGTCCATGGCATAACCTTCTTGAATGGGCAAAGCACTTCTCATCTTTCTAATGAGCCCTAATAACCATCCAAAAACAAGTCATTATGTATGTAAGTTATACAGTCCATATCAATTTTTAAAAAAATGTTTTATCTATGAGTTGCCATAAAAGCTTCTTTCTAAACTGAACGAAGCATATCAATATCCAAAAATTATGTTTGTCAGACATAGGGAATACCATATCACTAGTATGCTTATCTTTAAGTAACAGTTTACAAATGAAAGCTTAGAGGTGTCAAGAAGGATTTTCATAAATATTTACTAAGAACACTTCAAGTAAAAAAATCTTGTTAGTTGAACTAAATTGAGGTACATGGAAAACAATGAGCTTAGTTGCTTTTTTGCCTTGATTTTAAATCAATGCTATTCACATATCTTACCTTACTGTTTATTTCAATTTTATTCAAGAATGGTTCCTTTTCAATTGATTTAATGAAACCAACGACTATGCCATACCTCTTTCTCTCGAGCCCAAGTACTTCTCTGAATCATGACAAATTTCCAATACCTTGTAATTTCCCTCACAAATACCAATATAGATAGAATATTTAGTAAAGTGCCATGTTCAGTAAATAATGTCCAATTTGCTCTTTCTGCTATGGCTCATCAAGAAAGAACATATGGGATTACTTTACTGATGTTTCTAAAAGCCTTGTGTAAAATTTATTAGATTAGGTTATATATTTTTTTGAGTGGTAGATCCAGTTTTTGGTTTGACGAGGAAGCCAGGTCAGAGCTTAAAACTATACTTTATTTTATACTTACAACTATTCTCATAAAAAACATGAGTTCAGTGTTGGACTAGGCTGTTAAAACAAGGTGCTACACCAGTGATACATTTTTTGGGACCTGAAAATTCACATGACCACTCACTAAACATAAAATCATCATTCCACAAAGATTTTATTCACATCAAACTTGCACAGTAGCAAAAAAAAATCAAACATAACTAAGCCACATATCAAAGAACAATATACAATAGATTTAAATTTCTCAATGGCATTGGAAAGTATTTTCATAAATAACATATACAATTCTAGTGTTAGGACTTTCAAGGTGTCTGAAGCTTCACAGTGCTAGAAATGATTTTTTTCAGAACACATGCAAAAATGTGCAACACAATAATCCATATTAATGACACAAAGAAACACACCAGTTATTTCTCATTCCAGCACGGCCATGCCACTCTATGTTCTAAAACAAACAAACAACCCCCCAAATCCGGGTCCCATTCATTCTTCAATTATGCCTTTATTATATTCAAACAGTCACTGTTAGTGCTCTTCACCACGACTTTCAGGTTGGCGTCACTCCCTGCCTGCTGGCTGTCAGGACTGGGGGACGCCCCTCTCCCAGACTCACCTTCTTCCGGATGTCTTCATCATTTGCTCCAAGAGAGGCATAGAGTTTGAATGCAGCCTGGCGGAGTTCGTGAGCATGTTTTAAGTCATGATCAAGCTATGGGAGAGGAAAAAAAGATATGTTACAAATCAGTCCACAAATTAAATTTTCAATAATACCAACTGAGTTGGAGAAAAAATGTTTAACCACTATTAACATGTGAATGCTCTCACTGAATTCCTGATTATTTTTGGGTTCTGCTCATGTGACTGAGACCTATGTGTTTGTGTCAGCATTATCTGGATACATACTGTCTGCTTTTGTTTAAAAGTGAATACCACAATGTTTGACATTAGTATATATAAAACCTCTGTGAACCTTTGACCCCTAAAAACTCAGTGATCCTAGATTGTAGTGTCACTGGCACTAATGCTTGCTTGCACCGGCTCTTTGAAATACCTTCCCCCAAAACAAGGTACACTCAGACTTTGCCAGCCCCAGAATACAGCTGATAACTTGAGTGCTACTGCAACAATGTCTTTAACAGAAATGTTCAGAGTAGTGCTAGCCTAATTTCAGTATTTCAAATACTTTTAGAAACAGGGAAAACTTTTGTGAAAATTCTTAATGAACATTATACCATGGTAATCATTACTATTTGTCTATTGCAGTTATCTGAGATTTATCTCAGGAGACTTTTTTGATACATTTATTAAAACTAGAGGGAGGAACCAAGATGGTGGCATAAATAGACACCTGAACTTGCTGCCTTGCACAACCACATCAAAACTACAATTAAAAGACAAAACCAATATCATCCAGAACCATGGGAAGGCTAAGTGGAAGTCATACAACTAGAAGGAAAAGCGCTGCGGAGCTGTGGAGGTGCGGAGGTACGGAGACAGGCACGAAAATGCGCTGCCAAATGGGTACGCAATTGTCTTTAATTGGGAGGGAGATAAGCTCCTGACTGCTCTGAACTCCAATTCAGGGTGAGACTCTGGGGACCCAGACTCATATGAGGAGAAACTGGACTGTCTGGCATCGGGCTGGAACACAAGGGTGGCTTTTCTCAGAGGTGCTTGCAATGATGATGGTTCTTGCACGGTGCGCTAGATACAGAGACCCAGGGGCCTCTTCGGGGCAGGGCTTACAGGCAGCCATTGCTGTCTGCTCTGCCCTGGTGATTCCCTGAGGACCTGCCCCACCCAATTTACGACCCTACCAGAGCTGTGCACAGAAGCTTGTGCATATGAATGGCCTGGCCTTTTGCAATCTAAAACCTAACAAATTGCAGCTGGGTCAGAGAGCTCCTGAGTTGGACTAATATATCATGAAAATCATACATTTGTTAACATGTAAGAATTTTTCTCTATGGTTAATTATTATTTTTATTTATTTATTTATTTATTTATTTTGAGGGCGAGTCAGAAACCACTGGATAATCCATCATTAAAAAATAAAGATGACTTGCCCTGGCTGGTGTGTTCAGTGGTTAGAGGGTTGAACTGCACACTGAAGGGTCTTGAGTTTGATGCCTGGTCAAGGGCCTGGATTGTGGGAACCCCTGGGATGGTCGGGCATGTGGAGGAGGCAACAATCCAATAGATGTGTCGCTCTCATATAGATCTCTCTCTCTTTTCTACTTTCCCTCCCTCCTTTCCACTCTTTCTTAAAAAAAAAAAAAAAAAAAAAAAAAAAAAATTAATGGCGGAAACATCCTTAGATAAGGATTAACAAAAAAATAAAAACTAAATAAAGATAACAAAATAATATTCAAGTTTGGCATTGAGATAATTTTTAAAAATTATTTCTAGTTTTACTGTAGTTAAAATAAAATGGAAAAACTTTAATAGCAGGGATAAACTACATACTAATTAAATGATTTGCACCTGCTTAGGTTATATATTCTTATAACTATGTTCCCTCACTCTCATGTCCAACAAAGTATTCTTTTTTTTTTTTTTTTAATATATTTTATTGATTTTATACAGAGAGGAAGAGCGGGAGAGATAGAGAGTCAGAAACATCGATGAGAGAGAATCATCAATCAGCTGCCTCTTGCACACCCCCTACTGGGGATGTGCCCGTAACCAAGGTACATGCCCTTGACCGGAATCGAACCTGGGACCTTTCAGTCCCCAAGCCGACGCTCTATCCACTGAGCCAAACCGGTTTCGGCCCAACAAAGTATTCTATTTGCCTTGCTGGGATGGTCAACTAAGGATGTTCATGAGGCTATCACTAGGACTTGCCTATGTATCTCTGTACCAATGAAATACTGTCAGTGTGAGCAAGTAGCCAGAGGGAGAACAGACATGGCAGATAATTCAGTATAACCCATCACCCACAGGAAAAACAATCATACTGAAGGAAGAGCAGACATAACTTTAATACACAGAGGGCAATATACATTATTAACACAAATATTAATTAAAGCATTTTAGGTCCTTCCTGAGACAGAGAAAATATATATACCCTTAATAGTTTATTTAATTTTCTGTATCAAATGCTAAATGAATAGTTGCCTGCCAGATGAATTTTTTTTTTTTAACTCGGGGGCATGAGAGAGGTCAAGAAAACAATTTTTTAAAAGTTACCATTGGGACTACTGGTATAAAAAATACAGTCATAATCATGAAACAGTACTGGTTACTAATTAGAAGGCAATGTTTTTTCCACCATGACCTTCTTAAATAAACTTTCTCTAACATAATGTTTATCTCCTATGCTTAGAGAAATACACACGATAAAGAGGCTCAGAAAAACAAAGTAAAAAAAACACCTACTTATCCTAAGGAACTTATATTTTGAGAAAAAGTAAGCACAATTAATAGTCTCAGTATAAAGGTTAAATGATACTTTGGCTGTCACTATCAGACCAAGTACAGTAAAAAACTGCAAAAAGGAAAGAGAATATGGCAAATGTTAGGAGAAGTAGCAAAAGACTGCAGTGGAGAATAAAACAAAGCCACTAAGTTACATATAGCAAAAGATCGCCTTGACCTAAAGAACAATGCAATAGAGATGATTCTGGGAACATGAATAGGATGAGATAACATTGACAGAATGTCATTAACCAGTTTAGATACTAGACCCCACTATTTGGAAGTTTTATTTGGTAATTAGGAATGTAATTTTCTTCTTTCCTCATTATTTCCTTAATAAAAATTTCTGCACAACTGGTGTGGCTCAGTGATTGAACACTGGCCCATGACAAACAGTTGGTTGGCAGTTCAATTCTCGGTCAGGGCACATGCCCAGGTTGTGGGCTCGATCCCAGTAGGAGGTGTGCAGGAGGCAGCCAATCGATGATATTTTACCCTCATCGATGTTTCTTTCTCTATTGTTCTACCTTTCTCTCTCTAAAAATCAATAAAAACATATTTTTAAAAATTTCTGAACATGAAACAAATTGGACTCAAAAACTCATAAAACAACATCATCTATGATACCAAATGTAAAATATTCCTTTATTTAAAAGGGCTTTGAACTGTATTATCAAGTAGTTCAAAGTAGTGGATGGTAAGTAAACTTTTAGAAATCCCTCTCTAGAGCTGCTGAAAAGGAAAAGAAAACATACCCTTTTAATGTCAGTGATGGCACTCACAGAGCTGGGATACTTGAAGTAATCAGCAAGCATGGCAATAAGGTGATCAGTAATGCTCGCAATTCTCTGTAGCTCAACATCTGGTTCAATCAGATAGGCGAGTGTCTCAGCTCCTTCAACTCTCTCCTCTAGTAATCGCTCCTTACTGCACATTCGAACCAAACATGGCAATGTCTGAAAGGTAGTGAAATTAATTATTTGCTTTTTGGTAAAGGCAAAAGCTTGGAGATCATATAGTGACTGAATTAACTCAATGATTTTTATTGGGAGTCATGCTTATAATGAAATTTTCAATGAAGACTCACAGAGAATAAGAGTGTTTTTAATGTAAAAATATATAAAATTCAGTGCATGTTAATCATTTATGCTGGTACACTAAATTAATCATAAAATCAAAATACAATAATATAAACTCCATTCAGGCTTTTATGATTGATAAGACTAAAGCTTTATGTACAACCTTACAAAAGACATTTCAAGAATCCCTAATAAAGCATATCTGATGCTTCTATACCATGTATGTATTTATTTATCTAATTGACATCCAACAGTTTTAACGAGGAACGATTTTGCTTTCAAAAAGTATGCTATTTTTTCCTTAGTGAGTAATATGGTTGGGATGACTTTTATTTTTTGTTTGGGAATTAATAGCTATAGGAACAACAACAACAAAAAAGATACAGCTTTAAAGGTTCAGTGATCTTACCATCACTCAGATACCATCGGTTCTCCTATATGCAAGTGAAATGCATTAACTACAGTTCCTAGGTTTTCCAAAGAGTTCCTTGGAAAGACTAATATCTAAACTGTCCAATTTTACTTCTGAGGTCCTTCAAAACTCTTGGCACTGGTCTTGATTGGTTATTTATCAATAAAAATATCCCATGTATTTACTATTTATAAGGTAGAAGGATCCACTTTAAAGGATAATGTGGAAGTAAAAACTGAAAAATATTACAATTATAGGAAACCTCTCTCAACTACCACTGCCAGCTGTTCTTTTCTAAGTCCCCAATACATCTTTATCACAGTTTAGCACTTTGTTAACTACTGATTTCAGGCTTTTCAATACAACCCTAGGTTTCCAAGAGGAAAGCCTTATTCTTATTTTCTTTTGAACAGTCACTTACATTTATCAATACCATAAAATCATGGATTATTGAATTTCATTGTCACAACTACTACACCAAGAAAGATACTATTAACCTTGTTGACCAATGAGGAAGAAAAGAAGGGAGAGCAGTTAAGAAAATAAACCAAGGTCCTTGTATGGAAGCCTTTAGCATTCGATGCAGAGTTGTTTTCTTAGGGGATCATCAAATCTCATTAAATTAATTGACTTGCTTTACCGAAGACTAAAGCAAACAATCTTTCTTTATCCTTGGGTTGATTCTGAACACTAATAGTGAGAGAAATCACATTCATAAAATGACACCCAATGAATTTATTAATACTTGATTTGTTCTTTATAGCAAATAAGACATTTAATGGATTGTTATTCTCACAGTAACCCTGTGGAACAAATGAGCAAGAATTATTGCCTCCATTTTCATAATTAGGAGTCTTAACTGCCAACAGAATAAGGGGTGTGTACAAGGTTACCAAGCTAGGCAGTAGTGGTAACCTTGGAGACCTCCTAATACTTATGGGTGTCCATAAGAAATTAAGTAATCAGAGGTTATTAGCAGATTCCAGGTCTTGGGACTTTTAGGGCTAGTCTTTGAGTTTTTCTAACTTTAGTTGATTTGGACATCAATGACAATGATGGCTTTCATATGTTATTTACTTATTCCTTCTCAGTTTGCCCTTTGACTGTTTGCCATGAGAGTGATATAAAGTTTTTTTTGCAGAGCTAGTGAATTGCTTCCTACAAAAACTGTTGCAAACAATAAAAATCAAGGATTAAAATATATTTTCTATCACCTGAATTTTACATATTTTTATAATTTCTACATCCCCCTTATTACCATAAAAATAAAAGTATGACAGGGAAATAATTATTTCACTTTGACTTTCAAAATACATATAAAACCAATATTTAAAAACTACATGACATCCCACCAAAAAGAAAAGCATGGTATTTACAATTATTTTATTCTACGCACACATACCATAGTGTCAAATAGGAATACCAATATTTATATTCATCACATATGAGTGAATACTTTTCATATGCCTTTTAGAGAATTAATTAGCTCACCTTTAATACAATACAGTTGTCGTCTGTCCGAATTGCTCCAGCTCTACACATGTAAGTCAAACTGGAATAAGATAACAGAAAGTAAGTTTTTGCTTGTGTTTTAAAGCGTTAAAAGGAAAATTACTTGCCTTTAATATTTTATGGGCCAAAAATAAGACAACTACTCTCATTTATTTTGAGAGAGGCTTTGACATTCCCTTATTTGAGTTTCTGTTCATTTAATAGTCAAAGAAAACTAACTGATACCAATGTTATAAGCCAGATATTAAAAAACCCCAAAACCTTACAAAATTGTTTTTAAAATAAATGGCCTAATAGGTGGATGCATTTTGAAGCTAGGTGCTGAGCACATTAGAATTCTTTATACTTTTCTGTTTTGTTTTAAATTTTCCATAATAAAAAGGAAAAAAATTAAAATATAAAGTTAACAAAGTAAGTTTAAATGAAGTTAAGTTGGTAATTTAACTTTAACAGCAGAAGTATCACAGGAAAAGCATTTACCTTCTAATGCTTATGGGTGTCCATAAGAAATTAACTAATCAGAGGTTATTAGTAGTGGCATTAAGAATTAGGCAATGATTTGGTTTTATTGAAAAACAATTTACCTTCACAATTATATCTGGCTTTGAATAAGAATAAAATTACTACTTTGCACTCCCCAAACAGGTAATGAACATTAAGCACTTCAGAAGCTTTAATGAGTTTCCTTATTCAATTATATTCCTTTGGTAAGCAGGGTGAAAAAAAAAAAAAACCCAAAAAACCCATTTTCTAGCTTTTAGGGGATAATATAAACAAATCAATAAAATACTTATATTACAGAGCAAGGGTGGGGAATGTCTGGCCAGTGGGCCATATACTAGTAAAATCATTTGGTCTGGCCCTGCCAAGGCATTAGGGGTGAGTTAATTAAATGTTTGACCAAATATAGCAGGATAATTTTTAAGATAATAATTCTGTATGGCCTGCAAATTATGTTATAAATATCTAAATGGCCCTTGGCAGAAAAAAGGTTCCCAACTCTTGTTCTAGAGGGCTGAATCCTTTATAGCTGTTATCATTTTAAGGCTTGTTATCCCTACTGTCTTTTTTTAAAATGTTCTATGGCAGGGTTACCTCACCAACAAAGAAGCAAATAGTTTTGAAGTTAAGACAAAAGGGAAAAAAATACAAGTAATATAAACAAACAACAAACAATTCATAGTTCATTCTCATCAAAATATTTTCATTGAAAATTTTTCATTCTCATCAAAATATTAGTTTTTTAAATACTGAAATCAACAATTCATTTAGCATAGAACCCTATACAGCAGGTGTTTGACCTATCTGTAATATATTGATACAGAATTAGCATGCATTGAAGGCTTATAGGAGCCAGGAGTTATGCTAATAAGAACTTTATGTAATTACCTTATAAACTGTTATATCTCTATGAGGATTTTTTTTTGTTTGTTTTTCCTAAAACGAGGAAACCATATTTTCTGAAATCGTGCCTTGGTTATCAACTTTAACTAATTCTCATTCATATTTCTATATATTTGTATTTTCCTGGCTTAATACTTTTAATATTTAGCATAATATGTGGTGGTTAATTCTCATCTAATTGCATATTATTTCAATGGAAATACAGGAAGGGAATGTGATAAAGTAATTTTCTGTAGGTAGTCTTAGATGTTACATGAGAGTTCCTGTTCTACATGCTATTGAGTAAATGGAGTAAAAACCATGTCCATTTAAGAAAATGTGAGACAACCCCATGACTTTCAAATTAAAAAAAAATCCCCAAACAAAATTGGGATTGAAAATGAACTAATCAATCTGTCTCAAAATCCTCTAAGATATTGAGAAACACTATCTTTCTTCCCACATTGTCTTGACTTTTACCATTTTGCTGATGTGAGTTGCATCTCAATAGGCTTATCCCTCTGTAACATCTTCACAAAAATTTGTGGTAACAATTCTCCATCAACCAAAACTAGAAACAAAACAAACAAGAATTGAGAACTTCTTTAAATCTACAAAGTTTATAAATTAAATCAAGTAGGTTCCACTAAAAATTCCAGCCTACCATTTACCAGGGTCATCGATACCTGGGGGTTTTCAAAAGCTAAAACTGAAAAGCATTTCAGTGCTTGCATTCGAACCTATAAAAATAAATAAAGAAACAACATTTTTATTTCAGTTTTGCAAATACGCATTTTAAAAACATATATTTTTATTGATTTCAGAGAGGAAAGGAGAGGGAGAGATAGAAACATCAATGATGATCAGCTGCCTCCTGCACACCCGCTGCTGGAGATCAAGCCTGCAACCCATGCATGTTCCCTTGACTGGAATCAAACTAGGGACCCTTGAATCCACAGGCTGACGCTCTATCCACTGAGCCAAACCAGTTATGGCACAAATACGCATTTTAATGTATGAAAATCTAAACTCTTCTGAAGAAATAACTAACTAAATTTGCCAAAGTACTAAAGAAAGGACTCAAGGGAATAGAAATAAAACCTGTTTATCTAAGGAGTGCAATAAGTTAAAATTAATGAATGAAAAAGCAAAAACAGTAGCAATTAAAATTTAACTAGACAAATCCCTAATCAAATTTAAGAGAACACTGTACAAAATACAAAAGGCAACTTAAAAACAATTACCAACTGCCTTCTAAGTGAGACATTTCTTCTTCCCAAATTACAAAAAACAGATACCTAAAGAAGGGGGGGAAAAAGAGTATACTCTACTCTTGTGGTTGCACATGGGATGAGAATGGGGAAGAGAGGAAACAAAGTTACCATAAAAGTTTGAAAAGGGCTAAATTAATTTAACTTTAAAAACACCTATAAATTGTGCCACCATTCATTAAAACTGGGTAACTGGTCTGGGATGATACCAAGGAAGGGCCCAAACTCTCGACCACACACAACGTATTTCACAATTTGCAGGAACTCCTATAGGAGCTATTATTTTCTTAAGTCTTTCTGTTCAGTTTTCACCAGATATCTAATTCTCACTTCCAAGCCTGAGCCTATATTTGATGTTCCTATGTGGAACCTGGGACTAGTAGGATAGGTAGCTGAGGTATGAAGAAACATGTCCCTCACTTGGACAATACAACTATCCTTGTGAGCTCTTCACCAAGAGTGAATTTGGGCGTCTGGGGTAGACAAAGCATACATATTAGCAGGCTGCAATAGAGCTAAGGACTAGAAGAGCAGAATAATATAAGTACAAGTGGATAGAAGACAAAATGACAGCTTCTCTGCTCTACAGGAAACTCCTGGTAACCCAACTCTACTGTGACAGGACAATGTCCCAATATTTGCTACAGTTTGCTAACTGAACAACAATGAAATGTCCAAAGTTTTAGCTAAATGCTTGATAATATGTCATGATGCCACTTACCTATATATAAAAGACAGTAAAGAACATTTAATTAACAAATCTGAAAACCCTTGATTTTTAAACTCAAAATAGAAAGAAGAAGAATTTTAAGTGTTTGTGTATATATATATGTGGATGTATACTGTTTGTTTGAGTCAATCACTGTGGCTAAATAAAGGTCTCAAATATGAAAGCCAGTTTTTCCTGATATAGCAAGCCATTACTCCTGTATATACTTCAAGGCATCTGCTTTGGCATGGACATCTAACTGGAGGAGATTGTTAATAATCACAGGTGAAAATCAATAGCTACTCATGCCACAACCACATCCTGAAAACAAAATAGAAAGGATAGCTTGTTTGTTTTTAAAGTAACTTTTATAGATAAGACAATGCCCCAAAACATTTTACTGATAAAAACTACTCTTGATCACAATATCTAACAAAGAAGGAATAAAATATGTGGGTCCCTTTCTAGAGCAAGATTTTAGAAATCGAAATAAAGTATAAAAATCGGGACGTAATTTTTAACATCTTACTTTGTAAGATACTGAGGTTAGTAGGTGAGCAATATTTTGAACTGCACCATGGTTAAATAAAATTGTTTGATGATCTGGACCCTGTAAGAAAAGAGAATACAGCAATACATCAAAAAGAGCAAGATTCGTTCCAATAAAACATTTATTTAAATGTAGAAAACCATTCTCAATACAATGCAGAATTCTCAGCTACCCTTCTCTTACATAAACTCACCCCACAAAAAAGCAGGGTCACTTATCGAATATCTTTACTGATGGAGTTATGTTTATAAATGATGACAAGACCAAACACAATGCAATTTTCTGACCACAACGGTTTCCCACTGCTAACAAGATAAACCGTACTCTTTTAATCCCTCAAATTCTGTACCCCAAAGATTGTAGCAATATTTGTTACAAAAGCTCTTCCTCTTCTCTGTCCTACATAGGATTGTGTAAATACAACTGCAAGGAAGGAATTAGTGGCCGCACTAACTAGAAAGGAAGAGCTATCAATTGATTCTTATCAAGTCTTTCTAGTCTCTCCAAATCAACCTGCATGAACCTAGGGTTATGGAGGCAGCATCCACAGAGTGGGAGGCACATAAGCCCATGTGATCTTAACTCCAAAAGATAGGTCTCAAAAATCTGAGTAACTGTTTAAGAAGTGACAACAATTTAGAAGTTAGAGCTCCTAATATTATTACTAGCCCTTTCCAGCTTCTTAATAAGGGAGAGAAAATTTCAAATATGTAATTATGAGTAGCTTATAACAGTTTAATATCCCTCCTCTTTTTCTGTGTCTTCTACCCCAAGTATGTATATTTATTTAATATTGATATCAGCATATACAAATTTGTGAATGAGTCTTAAAATTGTATTATGAATTTTATATGTAAACTGACCAACATGAAAATGTAAAGTTTTTACAATTAATGACATTACAGAGATCATGAGATCAGTTGTTTTCAAAGATATATATTGTTAGTGTATCAGTAGAAAGGTTAATATTGTATTTTAAGCTATTCTATTGTTATTGGGTTTATAAATGCTATGTTTCCTGAGGTCTAGTTCTATCTCAGAACACCTGAATCTGGTCATTTAATTACAGTTGCAAATGCTCATTATCAGGCTAAAAGAAAGCCAAGTTAAGATGAATTTCTCTGTTATCTTTAGTTCTATGAATGCCATGAGGTTGCCTCTAAGTTTCTCTCCAGCACAAGAGCTAGTGATTTAATGGTATTCCTTTAACTATGATTCCAGCTAAAACAGCAGAGAAGTCTCACATAAGCAAATCTAAAAGTGGTGATAAATTTCTAATGAATAATCCTAAAAGTGATTTCAGTAATTTCAGGAATGGGACCATTCAAATTTCTCATAATTTAACGTAATTTGACATGTAGTAGTTATATACATCCAGGTCCAATCTTCAGTGCCCCTTTGGATTACTGTAATTATAACTAGTAGGTGCTATGTTCTCGAACACTCGGGTATAGGCGCTCAAAGATTTGTAATGATGCAGAGTTCTGGAGTATTCTTTTCTAACTGCCAGGACCAGCTATAAGATATCATTTCATTGTTGAAAGATTTTTTACCCTGTTAGTTTAGATCATTTTTAGTTAAATGAATTGCAACAAAAGTATTGTTTTCTTAAAGCCTTTCCTGAATCAAAGAGTGTGTATATTTGTAACTTTACCACATATTGTAAAAGTTAAGAGATCATTTGACATCCCTGGTCCTGTGAGTCAGCTTACACACTGTCAAAGCAATCTGGGAAGAGAAACTTCAAAACTTATTTATTTACTTATTTATTTATTTTCTAGTTTTACATATGTCTCCTTTCCCCCCGATTGACCCCTACCCTTGGTCCCCAGCCATTCCCATCCCAGGCAAGCCCCCACCGCCCCAGTGCCTGTGTCCATTGGTTATGCTAATATGCATGCATACAAGTCCTTTGGTTGCTCTCTAACCTCATCCCCCCCTGACATTTGTTTCTGGATCTATTCTTGTTCATCAAATTATGTTGTTCATTATATCCCACATATGAGTGAAATCATGTGATATTTATCTTTCTCCGACTGGGAAACTTCAAAGATTTTTGACAAAAATCTTAAATAGAATTAAGTGGGCTGTGAACTTCCTTTAGGATTTGGGAAGGGGTTTAAACATTTAAATTATAATCAATAATAGGTAAGTTTTATGGAACCAAATTATTTAATTTTCATTTATTTGGGAAACTGTTCTAAAATGTGATCTGTGATCTTCCTAGTTTAGTATGTAGATGTTCACTTTTCTTTTCCTTCTTTCCTACAGTTCCCCAAACTCCTTACTTTGTATTTGTATTATAAATGATAGGTGAGTAATGTTGCCCTGAAAACTTACAGAATCATCAGATGATAAATGGTTAGAAATTAACAAACGTGTAGAAATTATGAAAGATCTCAAATAATCGTCCATTGTTATCAAAAGAGTACACTCAATGTGTAAATTATGAAACAAAATAAGTAGCACTTCACACTCCTCAGGTTTAGGTTCAGGTCCCTTACGTAAGAGAAATTTCTCTCAACAAAGAGCAGAATTGCCGAAACCGGTTTGGCTCAGTGGATAGAGCGTCGGCTTGGGGACTGAAGGTCGATTCCGATCAAGGGCATGTACCTTGGTTGCGGGCATATCCCCAGTTGGGGGTGTGCAAGAGGCAGCTGATCAGTGACTGTCTCTCATCGATGTTTCTAACTCTCTATTTCTCTCCCTTCCTCTCTGTACAAAATCAATAAAATATATTTTAAAAAAAAACACAAAAAAAACAAAGAGCAGAATAACCTCTTAGTTCTGCTTGTAAGAGATTACTTAAAATAATTTCCAACAATGTAGAAACTGAAGGTGTAGGGAAGCAGTCATGATCACACACTGCTGATAGGAGTATAAAATGGTACAACCTCTACACGAGACAGTGTATGATAAAATTACAAATACGCACACTCTTTGATATAGCAATTCCATTTCTTATAAAATATCTTACATACGAGGTATTTGTTGCAGCATTGTTTTGTGATAATATTAAGATGGGAAACAAGCTAAATGTTCAACAATAGAGGACTAGTTAAATAAGTTACTGCACATCTATACAAAATACTAGATGACTGTTTATAAGAATAAGGGAGCTCCTATGTATTATACTGATATGGAATAGTCTTCAAATTGTGTTAAGTGAAAAATGCAAGGTGCAGAAAGTATGCATGGTATACTTTGATTTATGTCAAAAAAAAAAAAAAGGAAGGGGAGGGTATATATACAGAGGTCTGCCTATATGTATAGATTATCTCCAGGAGGAAATGCACAGACACATCTCCTTAGGGCATATAAGATTTTACATTACACTGACTATTTATTCTGGTTCTTACTTTACAGCAGTGTGAGAAGATCTGACAGATGTACTCCTGGGTGTAGCGGGACTTGCTAAGCAGCGCCATGAGGTGTGGTATCACCGTAGCGTCCTGGAGTTGAAGGGAAGGAGAACACAGCAACAAGAAACTTAGGCATGTGGAGCACATCTAATTAACTATTTCCATGAGCAGCTATTTATGCAAGCCTCTTATCTTAATGACAGCAAGTCAGATCTGCTCAAGAAACACTGGAAAACAAAGCAACACAACCACCAAAATTGTCTGGGCAAAGAATAAGGAAAAGGGCTTTAATGTTCATCATTGACAATAAAATACAAGAGCAGAAAATTCTCAATTTCTTTCGAATAAGCAGCCTACATTCCCACAATAAAACAAAATCGTTTTAGTAAGTCTTGACAGAAATCTATTCTGAAACCCAAATGTGAGGTAAAGATATACAATAATAAATAGCTTATAAGAAGGAGTCCTTTATAATAAAAGTATAATATGCAAATCGACTGAAAGGTGGAAGGACTGGTCGCTATGATGCGCACTGACCACCAGGGGCAGACGCTCAGTGCAGGAGCTGCCCCCTGGTGGTCAGTGTACTCCCACAGGGGGAGTGCTGTTCAGCTAAAAGCCAGGCTAATCGCTGGCAAGCACAGTGGTGATGGTAGGATGGCAGCGGCAGGAGCCTTTCCTGGCCTCTGCTGCAGGCAGGTGGTAAGGAGCAAGGGGCCCCAGACTGTGAGAGGGCGCAGGCCAGACTGAGGGGACCTCTCCTCCCCCAAGTTATTGTATAAAAATAAAACTTGGCAATTATGATTTCTGAGATGTTATGATAAGTATCAGTAATCAGTAGCAATCTCTCACAATGACTATAGTAAAGTAATTCAATCTTTGCAATAGCAACTTCTCATTTATAGCATATTCTCTCTCTATTGTTGACACTTAGCAACATACATGATGGTACAAAAGAGAGAAGAATCCACCCAACTTGCTGTAGGGCTCTCTCCAAAAATCTCCTTTTTCTCACAACGTGAAAGGAATTAAAAGTTTAAAGGAACCACAAATGGAAAGGAGACTATTACGCTCAAGCATCCTCTGCCATGAGTCAAGCTCACTGCTGCCATGAGTCTTAGAGTTCTGTGTCTCAAATAAGATTGTGCATGCAGACTCCCAGAAGATACTCTTTGTGTGGACATTATGACTCTGTAGGTTTGGATTAGGACCTAAGATTCTGCATTCTAATTAGCTCCCAAATGAGGCCAATGCTGCTGGTCCATAGATCACACTTTGACAAAAGACAACAGAAGGCAAAGAAGAAAATTTAAAAGAAATACAGTATGAGGAATAACAAGAATTGAGGTTTCTCTTAGGAAGAAAAGAATGCTCAAGATACATAAAAACCTAGTAGAAAAGAGAAGGCTGTGGTTCCCAAGTAGAATCTTTCCCCACTGCTTAGGTCATCACAAGCAGTTTAAAAACAAAATGAAAAACGTAGGAAACCTCAAAAAAGTCAAGTACTAAATGCATAGAAAAATGAGAGAAGATGGGGACTGAAGGGGAAGGGAAAACAGTGGCAGAAGACAGGAATGCAGGGAGCAACTAAGATAAATCAGGTAATCAAGAGGAATTTAAAAAACAACTCTATGAAAGCTCTTGAGAGGAAGATAAAAAAGCCTCTTTTAGGCTTCTAGAATCCTCTATCTCCTTCCTTTCCTCCATTGTTCTCTTATCCCTCAGTTTTCCTGCATTTCTTCATACCTGCCCCCCGTTCTGCCAAGACTGTCACATATTTGCAGTTTATAGTTGAGTAAACATGCAATAAATAGTTATATAATTTGCTCGCTGGATAAGTGAGATTTCAAACTAGACATCCTGTCCTCTTCCAATCTGACTGCTGTCTTCCGTTGAGTGCCTGAGTTGCGCGGCAGCTGGCCTCTTCACTGTCCCACACAACATTACACTCTGTCATCATCCTACCTGATACTTTTCACGGATTCTCCATTGTCTCTGAGGCACAAAACTGAGATGCTTCATAATTTACATGTTCTTACTGTGAAACTCAGGCAATGTCCCTGAGTCTTTTTTTTTTTTTTTTCATATTAGAAAGTTAAGTTGGCATTAATCAGAGTTTTCCAAATTGTGCACTATAATTCATTAGTGAGTTATGAAGCCAGTTTAAAGTATGAGGAGGAAGGAGTTAAGACAGCTGGCCAGGATCCATTTCTCCCTCTATTACTGTCTGGGTTGGGGGTTGATGGGAAACTTCGAGGGCAGCGATTTTCAACCTTTTTCATCTCATGGCACACATAAAACACTAAAAATCCTGCGACACACCAAAAAATGTTATGTTTCCCCCCGATCTGATTAAAAAAAAAAAAAGAAGTTATAATTTTGATTCATTCACATTGGGTGGCTATTGAGTTGACTGTTTCATTTTTTTTTTTTTTAAATCTGAGGGAAAAGAGGCTGGTGCCCCTGACTAATCAGATATTGCATGTTTTAAAAATTCTTACAGCACACTGGTTGAAAGTCACTGACCTAAATTAAAGAAGACTAGTGACGGGTTTAACTTCTTTGTAAATAAGACAATAGGACCTTAGGAAAACAGACTGATATTTACTAGAAGGAGAGCCCCGTAGAATGTTGTGAGGAGAATTACCAATTCAGGGACTGCTTATTGTGTCAGTTCTAAAAGAGTGCTCCAAGGACCAGCAGCATTTAAGTTACCTGGAAACTTGTTATAAATGCAAATTCTCAGGCCTCACCCCGGACTCAGTGAGTCAGAAACTTGAGGTAAGGTCCAGCAATCTGTATTTAACAAGACCTCCCGGCAATTGTAGAACATGCTCAAGTTTGAGAACCACTGCAGTGTACAATTTCCAGATTTATGGGGCATCGCTCCCTGAAGAATGTCACACAAATCCCTGACGTTTACAATTCAGATGTGTCATTCAGAGCCTGCCTGCTGTTCCAGGTGACTCACAAACCTCCTATAGTGCTACTAGAGGGCCGGCGCACAGACTGTGCACAGTGGGGTCCCTCAGCCTCCCCGAGAGATGGGGCCAAACCCAGCTCTCCCACATCCCCTGAGGAGTCCCAGACTGTGAAAGGGTGCAGGGCAGGCCAAGGGAGTCCACGGGTGCATGACTGGGGCTGGAGAGGGATGCAAGAGATTGGCCAGCCGTGGAGGAACCGGGGTAGGGCTCCAGGGCATGTCCAGCCGATCAGTCCCGATCAGCCTGACCCCAGCAGCAAGCTAACTTATTGGTCAGAGTGTCTGTTCCCTGGTAGTCAGTGCACATCATAGCAACTGATTAACCAGTCGACTGTCTGCCCCCTGGTGGTCAGTCACATCATAACAAGTGGTTGAGTGGCCTTAGCATACATTAGCATATTATGTATGCTTTGGTTGGTTGAACAAACAACTGAGCAGTTAGCATATTAGGCTTTTATTATATTGGATGTATCGTTACCAGCCAGGGGAACACGTGTCTGATATGGGAAGGACAGTTTAAGAAGCCATGTGACATGTCTCCCCTCTCTGATTGTTTTGCCTCTTGATTGCTTATGTTTTTGAAATATTTGTAAAGCATGATTCTGGGAAAGATCGCTGTTTCACATACGTCCAATTTGGCATTCTGATTCTTTGTGTTGGCTCAAATCACAACCAGCATATTTTTTCTTTAATGAAAAAGGATGTAATAGAAATCAGAGGGCTTCACATTTATGGAACTGTCATATGGCAATAAAAAAATATATTTCTTATTGTGGATTGTGAATAGAAGTATTTGAAAATTATTGGCCTGGATAATTTTCATTAAGAAAGCACCATGTAACCCATAAATAAAAACATCCCCTAATAATCCCTGAGGTTTGTTAGAACTACTGAATGACTCCAAAATCTTTGGATTCTCTCACATGAATTTTCTGTTCTAGCCTGGTAAATAAACCTTTTGCAAACTGATTCTGCTCCACCTCTCCAATTGAAACTAACACTGATACCCTTCCTGCATTAGACTATCCTGCCCACTATCCTGCATATTCTCTTACAGTTTCTCTCCTTGACTGGCCTCTTTACTCTCTAAATCTTATCCATTATTCAAGACCCAGGTCAAATTCTTGCTTCTCTATATAGTATTCTCTGCTGGACTTAATCTAGAATGAGCAGAACTCCCAGTCCCTCATTTAGCATTAAGTATACTGCCTTAATTTGTATATAGCAAGAGATCAAAATGGGTCTTAAAAAATAGCTTATAAATCCCTCAAGGTCTGAGACTATCTTTCACTTCTTTATAAAGCCTAGATTATTTGACATTTACAAATTAGCAAGAATTAGTACTTATTGAGACCTTTTAATAATGTACACAGTTGAGTCTTGAGATGCTAAGTAGATTAGAAGTACAACATCACTGAATGTAACTGATGATTAAAAACATCTAAAACTCACTGTATACAATAACTCCTCTGGAGTGACAGGACTGGTGAAGATGGTACGCAGACATCGAAGGCAAGCTTCAATGAACTTCAGGTCTAGAGATAACAGTCCTATTAACAGAAAATAGATATAAGATTTTCAGCCATATTTAGAACTACAAACTGATTCTAATTTTTACTTGTACAAGTATGACTTCCCTACATACCTTGCAGTAAGGCAGGGATGATATGGCAATCTAGCAGAGACTTGACATTGTTTTCAGTACCCATAGCAAGACTTCCCAATACCACTGCACATTCTGTTTTCAGCTCTGTACTTGAGGTTTCTTGCTGAAGCAAGTACAACAATCTAAAAAGAATAAATTTGATAAACAGAAGAGACTAAGAAACTTAAAACAAAAGTAAATTAGCTAAAAGTATTGTGACAAAAAAGACTACCAATACATTACACATACTAAAAATACTGTTGACAAGCTTATAGAGGATAGGAAATGGTTATTTGTTTTATCAGCTGATAATTTAATAAAGAAGTGTTTGGAAAAGAAAGCTCAAAGAGATTTTATTCATTTTGAGCAAAAGAATAATCATATAATCTCAAGAGTTTATCAGAACCAGAAATGTAAAAGTTGTCCAAAGTGATTGCTATAGAAACAGCAACATCACAGTCCCTGTTCTCTCTGCCACTTCAGAACGAAGACAACCAATGCCAAGTGCTGCTGGGTCTTACATTCAGACTAGATATGGACCTTGAATAACCAGAGCTATAGCTCTGAAATCACAAAGGTTTAGCCTACAGGGAATATGAAGAATCCTTGTGCAGCTTTTCAAACAAGGGGATCTCTCTTCTTTCTTCAATTCTCCCATTTGAGGAATCAGGGGATTCTCCCATTTCCATTCCAGCTCAGCCTTCCAAACAACTACTCTCCAAATTCTAATTATCCACCACTTATGACCATCTTCCTTATTCTAAGGAAGAACTCTCACACTCCCTAAAGCATATTTTAAATATGCTTTCATTGATTTTTAGAGAGAGGCGGGAAGGATAGAGAGAAATATCAATGAAAGAGAAACATGCCTGCCTCCTGCAAGCCTCCTACAGGGGATTGAGCCTGCAGCCTGGGCATGTGCCCTGACTGGGAATGGACTGATGACCTTTTGGTTTATGTGTCAATGCTCAACCACTGAGCAACACTGGCCATGCCCTAAAGCATATTTGCATACTGACACTAATCCTCTAAAAAGGCTACTGAATGCTTTATGGTTACTAAAGTATATATTTGAAGTTGGTTATGATAAAAACAATACAACCACTAATCCTATATCAAAAGATAACAGAAAAAACAAAACATTTAAAAATTCTGAATGAAAAACTTATAGCAACTGCACAAAAAACTTAGTTCTGAGTAGTAGCAGCAAATCAAAAGTTATATAACTGAAATTATCTGCCAAAAGGAAGCTTATTAGGTTATCAGAAGAATTCAAACTTTCTGTTAACTTAAAAAACAGAATTTCAAAAATTAGAAATTAAATACAGAAAAGTAGAACTAAAGACCAACCAGGTCTCTCTCTTTCTTTTTAATTCAAAAACAGATTTTAAAATCCTGAGAAATTGTTATCCATTCATAAAAAAACAAAACTAACAAACAAAAAAAACCTGCCAGGGCTCTAGACTGGGAAGAATGAATCAGGCTGGTATACATTGCCTCTCTATCCAACAGTCTTTTATTGCAGGGTCAATGATCTTCCTGAATTTCTAAAAAATATTCATACATTCACTTCACTGCCCATTCTCTGATATTTTAATTTGTTTTGTTTTTTACACATGCTTCAAAGAACTCATAGCATTAATTAAGAAAATTAAGATGCTTTTAAAAAATACAGAAAAAAATATTAGTCTTATGGTTGAGAATGAGAAACACATTAGAATGAGTATGAATAGCAGAAAAAGGAATGATAGCAAACATACCTTGGAACAGCTCCTAAAACAATGAGGTTGGCTTTCTGCTTGTTGTTTCCAATCACAGCATTTTTCATGTCTCTGAAATCAGGGGTAGAGAAAGGGTATAATATGTTGAAATATCCTATATAATAATAGGGTAATATGCAAATTGACCCTAAAGGCAGACTGACCTGGAACAACTGGTCGTTATGATGTGCACTGACCACCAGGGGACAGACATTAAATGCAGGATCAGCTTCAGTGGTCAATGTGCTCCCACAGGAGGAGCTCAGCTCAGCCACCAGCCAGGTTGAGGGACTCCCCACCCCGCCCCCCGAGTGCATGGGTTTTCATGCACTGGACCTCTAGTCATGGAATAAAAATCAAAGATCAATTCTTCCACTTGATCTCTATTAAGCCACATCTTGAATTAGCAAGTACAGAAGTTAGTGACAAAGTCAATGCACTGACCCTTTCCCCCCTGAACCGCCAAAGAGAAGGGACAGAAATAGGTGCTGAGTGAACGTGGGGCTGTAAAAGAGGACAGCAGTGGAGTGGGGGAAGTGGGAGATACCCTGAGTACTGGCAAAAGACTCCCAATAGTAAATGCTGAGTTCTTCAAAAAGGGCCACCACACCTTTGAATATAAAGAAATATAGATCACCTTCTCACATCTGGGAGTAAAAAACAAAAGCAACCAGCCCACAGAACACACCTGGCCTAGTTTCAGGAAGAATGACTTTGTTTATTCTTTTTTTCTGAATTATTTTGGACTGAATATTTCTTATTATTCTATTTTGTCTCCTTTATTATCTTATTAGCTGTACCTCTCTGGACTTTGATCTGTTGTTTTTTTAGTGGTTGCTTTGCAACCTATAATGCACACATTTCAAGGGATATTATCCCCATTCATGTGTATTGTAAGAGCACTGCAAAAACTTAAACTTCTCCATCCATTCTTTAAGCTGCTACTGTCACACGTTTTTGTTTGTTTGTTTTTAATGTATTTTATTGATTTTTTACAGAGAGGAAGGGAGAGGGACAGAGAGCTAGAAACATTGATGAGAGAAGCATCAACCAGCTGCCTCCTGCACAACCCCCACTGGGGATGTGCCTGCAACAAAGGTACATGCCCCTGATCGGAATCTAACCTGGGACCCTTCAGTCCGCAGGCTGGCACTCTATCCTCTGAGCCAAACCGGTTTCGGCACATGTTTTATTTTTAAATTAATTAGAAACAATAGAATATATTGTTACTATGTTTGCTTAAGCAACCAATTATCTTTTAAAGATATTTAAAAGTAAATGTTTTATATTTCTTACATATCCACCAGTAATTTTTATTCTAGTTAAACACATATCTTTACTTCACTAGGAATACAACTGTATTGATAGAATATCTCTCTATCAATAACCAATTGATTCACAAACATGAAGTTCGTCCCAAAGGTCAGAAGGGAAAAAAAGCTCAAAATAAACCTGCTACCACTAATAATATGTTTAATAAAAATACTCTGGTCAGTAGCCTATTTAATATAGAACAACTATGAGATCTACATAGCAGTGGTCTCAAAGAGGGAAAGAAGGCATTACAGTCCCCTACAGGCATTTCAAAAGTTTGAGGTTTCTAAAAATTTCTGGTCATAGTTTTACAAATAGGAAGCATTTTTTGTACTTTTAAAAAATATATATAATTTTCAGTATTATACCTGCCCTATAAGTAAGAGGAAGATTGTACTTTTTCTTAGGAGTTATTCCATTTTGGAAAATGAGGTCACTAGCACACTGGCACTCATGGTATTTGAGTCATCAATACCATACACCTGTATGAGTCCACATTTGTAGCCCTTGCATTCACACTGCTTTATTAAGTTTTCTAACATAGTCGCACATAAGCATTTACATATTGAGACATTAGAAATTACCTTCTTTTTTATTTCTCCTTTATATTATATGAAGGGAAGGCGTTATTTTTAGAATTATGTATGTGAGTTGGTTATATTATGGATTTAATATCAGCATAGTACAGGGGATGTTACAAAACATTTATAAGGGGAAGTCAGGTCCGATAGATTTAAGGCCATTGCTTATAGAGCCTCAGAGTTCTTAGCTCACCAGTTTCTTTCCCCCCCTAAATAAGTTCCCCTACATACTTGACCAGCATCTCTTTAGACTTTCCCTCTTCCAGGTGGCAGAACTCTACAACATACAGGAATTTTTGTGTCAACACTGAAAGTTATAATCCTGAAAAAGTTCTATAGTTGGCAAACCATTATCATGTAGAAAAGCAGAATAGAAAACAGAAGGGAAGGAAAGTTACTTAAAAAAACATTAACTGTTACATTCAGCATGTATTTCCAATACCAACCAAATTCACTGGCATTTAGAGCCCTAGAAAGAATTATAATATCCTTTTCCTCCATTACCTTCTTTGATTATTGCAGAAAAACACTACTATGGCATAGTGCTCTGCTAAAAGCTTGAGCCAAACACTGTGCATCTGCCCAGTCTTCTTGCATTAGCTCGGTGCCTAATTTTCAGGGTCTGATCTGTCTCTCTGTGAACTATTAGTCAGATCTTACATTTGGTTCACAGGGTATTCGATATATAGTAGTATTATTTCCTTACCAAGGTTCTTACCAAGTTCTGATACTTAATTTTAAAACTATGTGATTTCAAAGCCTCATTTAGCAAAACAGAGTTGAGACTGGACACCCAGGCTCCTGCCTCCTTATGGATGCCTACAGTTTTCTTAAGCTTATTTCAAAATTATCAGCTTACAGACCAAACGTAGCAGTTTGCCATTTGCTTGCATCTTCTTTCCTTCTCTGTGTTCTGCCTATACCAATGCAGCACACTCATGTGTCCAGCGGCTGACTATTGGTGCCATTCTGGATGCTCTCTTTCTTACGGAACTCCCAACCGTGACATTTCCCTAGATGTCTCCCCATTCTTCCTAAACTAAGCAGAAATGAGGTATCTCCACATTACCATACAAACACACTCCAAATATCTGAAACCATGTCAGAGTGAATGTTTTTAGAAAAACAAACAAAACCCCTTCCAGCTGTCCAATACTCTTAAAAGTTTGCAAAAAGGACACGGAGGAGCCAGCTCTAAATCAGTAAAATATGCCTATGCTAGATAAGGAAGAAGAGATGCTATAATTTCTATAAAAGAGTTAAAACAAAACAGAAAAGACAATAATTATCACCTTACCCATCTTTAGCAGACCTAAGTACAGTGTAGGATCCCATTTCAGAGCCAGAGTCAGCCAGACAAAGTTTCTTGTTCCCAATAACAGCTATTCTCTTATCTCATCCCCTCCCTCACAACTTTATTTCCTTCCCCGGCTAACTACTCACTTTCCAGGGCTACACTCTGATGTCATGTCGCTTCCTCCAAGAAGCATGACCTGACAACTCCCAGGTATGTGTTAGATTGCCCCCTCCCCCCCAGGTACCCTCTATCATAACACACTCAATACTTTTTAGTATAGAAATCTGTCTCATAAGAGGCAATAAAGCCAGCCTGACCTGGAACTATCAGAGAAGTTACTATCAGTGGACCATAAAATGTACCATATAGAAATCCATATTTTTATAACATGCAAACTTGTAACTATCATCTAACATGGAAACACAACAAAACTATGAAAGATTTATATACTGCTTTGAAGTTTATAAAGCATTCTATAGCCATACTTAATCTTTAACACAACCTTGAGTAAGATTAATGCCACTTTACAGATGAGGAAGCTAGACTCAGGTTTGGGGATTTTCTCAGAGCTCCACATTAAACCAGAGAGCTGGTATCAACCTACATATATATTTTTTTGTTAATTCTCACCCAAATATATTTTCCCATTGATTTTTAGAGAGAGTGGAAGGGAGGGGAAGAGACAGAGAGAAACATTCATGTGAGAGAAACACATTGATTGGTTGCCTCCCACACATGCCCCAACCAAAACCTGGATGGAACCTGTAACTGAGAGATACATCCCTTGACTGGGAATCAAAACTGGGACTCTTTAGTTCACATGCTGATGCTCACTTTAAAGACAGATTTAATACCACATTTTCTGACAATAATCAAACTAGCCTAAAAGGGACTGATGAAATCATTATAAAGTTTCCTAGTTAAGGGGACAAAAGCACAGTTAACACAATGAGAAAACAAATACCATCTCCTATTTCTGTAAACTGAGAAGATACGGTGTCAAATATCCCAGCTGGGTCTCCATCCAGCTCCTAACTTTCCCTTCCACATTCCCAAGACATCCTCTCTACAATGCCTTGGGGGCTGAGAGGTAGAAGAGAGGTTGGGGCTAAAAAGAATTGCAGTCAGTAGCCTTGCCAAGGCTGAGCAAGTTAAACTGAAGGCACTACTGGCTGATTACACTAGCAGGGTAAGAGAAGAAGTGCCTTTGCTACTATCCCAAATGTGTCTCATCCTGACCCTTGTCTGTGTCCTCCTTCCCCTGGACACAGGTCAGGCCTGCAGGTCTATGTGGTTCCCTTAGGCTAAACCTTATCGCTTATAACTATAGTGTTAAGTGCATGATAATCTGCGCTTTGGAGAATTCTTTCAATCAGTTACAATGTTATCACACTTGTCCAAATTAATTTTTGGAAGCATAATCACTTCAGGTATGTTGTTTAAAAATACTTCCTCTCATTAAACATGGAATTCTAGGTAAAAGAAGGGCATTTACAAGAGTTCATTTAAATTGCTAATGACTGCTTTCTAAATTCTGATATTTAAAACATCACTAGGGTATTAGAACCTTAGAGTCAGTTGAGTTAACCAAAATCAAAACAAACAGGAAATCCTCTGAGCTATTCTCCTAACCCTTTTCAATTATAAAAAATCATCAATTTTATTCTCTTGTTTTTGCTGGAGATTAAAGTCACAAAAGCATTCTCCAGCGGAACATCCTTTAAAATGTAAAACAAGTATAAAAAAATGAAGCTAGCCATGTCAGTTAACTATACAACAGACAATTCTTTAACAGTGCAATATTAAAGTCATGACTATTAAGGGGACTTTCCAATATGGCAGAAAAAAAGCTATAACCCTGCATTTTCAGAATTATAATATTTATTTGGCAGATTCAAACATGAAAACAAACAAGACTTGATAGACTCTTAAATACATACTACTTACATGACACCTTGTAGAACTTTCTGGGGATCAGGGTCAAATAGCCTGTCAACATAGTGGCGACTGCTAGCTGTTACTTCCTAGAAAGTGGGGGGAAAAATTATGACATCTGAAGCCATGCAAATCACAAATTCACAGCATCACCCACAATATCAAATAGCTATATAATCTAACTTAAGGTAAGTGCATTAGAATGTCTACAAAATGCCTTTTATGTTAAATCGTTCTGAGAAAAGTTGTGACAAGATAAATACAGATGAGGAAGAAGATAGCTGGTTCTCATTGAAAACATAACTAGACAGTAGGACCTTTGTGCTAAGCCTTGCAAGTTTTGCCACCGGGAGTACTGGGCATTAAGAAGCAGTTAAGCTTCTTACGTAGCTGTTGGATGTCACTGTGTATGAAAAAGAGATAGGGACATTGCTTCTCTTTAGTGCTCACTAAAGGGAAAGAAAACCTGGCTCTCAGCAAGGAAAAGGGGTAGCCCAGGTGCAAGAGAAAGTCCCTCAGATTGATGTACAGTAGCTACACTGCTAGAATATAAACTAAAACAAAGGAGTTGTCACTTTGTGTGAGGGGGACAATAATTAGGAATTAGAGTGATTTTTCAGGTCCGAGACAGTTGGCTGAAATGGCTAAAGCTGGATATAAGGGGGAGAGTTAGCACATAAAGAGCAGGAGGAGACACTTACCTCCTTTTATTTGTATCATGGGGCTTGCTCTATTATGTTATTTCTTACATATAATAGTAATTTTTTTTACATTTAACTCTCAATACTTAACGTTATTTAAAACAAAGAGCATTCTTAATTATCAGTTTAAGGACCAAAGAAAAAACATTTCTGTCCCTTGCTTTTTCTTTCTGATGCCTGCTGAAATATACTCATGTACCCATTAGTAATAAATTATTATAGAGATGAGGAAATACTTCTCAAATTTACCCAGAGCGCAGATCAGTAAAGAGTTCAATGCCAATACACAGTGTGCCAGCTTAAGCTTCTGAGTCAGCAAAAGTAACTGAAGAAAAACTATATAAATTCTACTTTCCGGACAATACAGTTAATAAATAAAAAAATCAAAGCATATTTTCATACTATGAGCTTGCAAGCAAAATATACTCACAGGCAGCTCAAGTGCCCACTTTAAAATGTACTCCATTTATAAAGAACGAAGCCAGAGGTATATCACATTACCTGACTTCAAATTACACTACAGAGTTACAATAATCAAAACAACATGGTATTGGCAGAACAGACACATAGACCAATGGAATAGAACTGAGAACCCAGAAATAAAAGCACATTTATTTGGCAAACAATTTTTTAATAAAGGAGCAAAAAGCACACAATGCAGAAAAGAAAGCCTCTTCAATTAATGATGCTGGAAGAATTGGAAAGCCACATGCAAAAGAATTGTACAAAAATGAATTAAAAATGGATCAAAGAGCTAAATATAAGATCTGAAACAATAAAATCCACAGAAGAAAACATAGGTACTAAACTTTTGGACCTGAGCTGTAGAGAACATTTGGATTTGACCCCAAAGGCAAGGGGAAGTAAAGGCAGGAGCATATCAAACTAAAAAGCTTCCGCATGGCAAAATAAACCAACAACAAAGCAAAAGGGCAACCAATGGGATGGGAGATGATATTTGCAAACAACAGCACTGACATTGGGCATTGATACCCAAAATATATAAAGAACTCATACAGCCCTACATAGTTTGACTCAATGGAATGAGTGTCAACCTGCAGATTGAAGAGTCCAGGGTTTGATTCTAGTCAAGGGCATATGCCCAGGTTGTGGGCATGCAGGACACAGCCAACCACTGTTTCTCTTTCATGTCAATGTTTCTCTTTCTTTCCTTCTCCCTCTAAAATAAATACAAAGACATATCCTATCCTATATAATAAAAGCTCAGCGACCAAATGGCAGATGTCCACAACAATTGGTTGACCGACCAGCTGCTATGATGTGCACTGACTACTGGGGGCAGATGCTCAACACAGGAGCTGCCCTCTAGTGGTCAGTGTGCTCCCACAGTGGGAGTATTGCTCGGCCGGTTTGAGCAGCTGCTCCTACTGTGATCTCAAACTGTGGGCAGACGGGCAGGAACCTGGGCTGTGATCATTGCCTCCTCATCCCAGGCTCCTTCTCCTGGCTCCCTGCCCCTCCGACACCCCTAGGCCACACAGCGCTGCCGCTGCTGGGCTCACAGAGCTGACCCCGGAGGCTGGGAGGCAGGTTCCTGGCCACCATGGGACTGAGGCCTACTCCATCGCATCTCAGTGCTCTTGTCCCTGGAGAGGCAAGTGCTCCAGCTCCACGGAAGATGCCAGACCAGGGAGAGGTGTTCAGAAGGCGGGTCCACCACCACCTTCTGACTGGAATGAGCAGCTCCCACAGTGGGCCTATCCCAGCAGGCCATGTCCCCCACCAGTGCACATCCCATGCACTGGGCCTCGTTTTAAAAATTGATCTTTGATTTTACAGCTCCTGTCCACACACTCTCCCACAGCTTCTTCATCTCCTGCTTCTCCATGTGGTTTTTAAAAAGGTAGTTGAGTTTAAGATTTGTATGTTAAACAACATAAATTGTTCCCATTAGTAGCAATTTTCTTTACTGTTGTTCTGAGTAGCTACTATATGTAAGGCACTGAGGAAGTAATTAAGGATTTAAAAAATATTTAGTAAGGCACCATCTCTGACCTCAATAATGCATATTCTATTGTAATCATGTTTACATACTTTATATTCCCTACTTGAATACAAACATGAAGGCAGCACCGAGGAGGGACTTAATAAACCAGGAGAATCAGTGAAGACTTCTTAGAGTTGTTTTGGAAAACGAGTAAGAGTGCACAAGAATGGGCAAAGAAAGAAAGAATCAGTGTCATAATCACAGTAATGGTGCAAGTGAAGCCAACACCCATATACCAGGTATACCAGGAGCTGGCACTGGAGGAGGGGAGGGTAGAGCGGTGACCACTGAATGTAAAACACAAAGAGCTAACCAACAGGTGACCATAACTGCAGAGCTCAGATAGGCTCTTGTTTTAAGTTCTATGCTAGGTGCTAAAGAAGACAGAAGAGAATGCTATGGCAAAGCCTTGTACTTAAGAAGCTTACACTCTGTAAGGTCACTCATGTAGACAAAAATAATCCCCTCTGAGCTGCCTAGGTCTTAGTAAGCTGAGGCGATATAGTCACTTACTGACTTTTATTTTACTTGGTGCTTTTGCCTGTAACATAGTCATTCATTTGTCTGTCTATTTAGAACAATTCCTAATTTCACTGCTTTCCTTAGGTCACCTCTTTCCTCCCAGCCCTCTTTTCTCTTCTTTCAAAAGACAGCCTGGAAATATAAGAATTTGAGAGAGAAGGCAATTGGTACAGATATTAATAGGTTGGTGTGGAAAAGCTTCTCTAAGAAGGTGACATATGGGCCTTCCTTCTCCTCTTCCTCTGTCTCCAAGGGCCATTTCTTCTCCAGCTCACTTTTAACTACCTCTGTAACTTTCTAAGTAAACTTCCTCTTGTAATTTGGAAAAAAGAGAAGGAAATATATGAACAAAGACCTGAAGAAGGTAGAGGAGTAAGTCATGCAGCTGTCTGGGAGCAAAGCTTTTTAGGCAAAGAGAAGAACAAATGCAAAGGCTCTGAAATGGGAAGTGTCTGCTGTGCTCAAACAACAGGCCATTACAGCTGGAGCGGAATGAGCCAAGGAGAAAGCAGAGGAGACAGGTCAGAGAAGAGGGGCCAGATGGTGAAGAACATGTTGTCCAATATAATCACCACTAGCCTCCTATGGCTAATGAGCATTTGAAATATGGCTAGGTATTGAACTTAAAATTTAACTGTAATTAATTAAAATTTAAAAACCAATACAGGATCTTTCCAGGTGGCACCAAGCCATGGGCATCTCTCGGGACAATTGGCATAAGCGCTGCACTACTGGGGGCAAGAGAAAACCCTATCACAGAAGCAAAAATATGAGCTGGGACACCCTGCTGCCAACACTAAGACTGGCCCATGCCGCAGACACAATATGTGTGTGGGGAGGCAACCAGAGGTACCGTGCCTTGAGGCTGGACATGGACAACTTCTCCTGGGGCGTGGAGTATTGTATGCTCAAAGACATTGCTGCTTTCTACAGTGCATCAACAACAAACTGGTCCACAGCATGCCCCTAGTAAAGAACTGCATTGCACTCACTGACAGAACACCGTACAGACTATGCACTGCCTCTCGGCTGCAAGAAGGGGGCCAAGCTGATTTCTGAGGAGGAAGAGACTTTAAACAAAAAACGATCTAAGAAAATTCAGATGAAATATGATGAAAATAAAGAGAATGCCAAAATCAGCAGTCTTCTTGCATGCTTAGATTCAAGACCAGGCCAATGTGGCTGAGCAGATGGCTACGTGCTAGAGGGCAAGGAGCTGGAGTTCTAGTTGAGGCAAATTAAGACCCAGGAAGGCAAATATAGCCTCTTCCCTCCAATCTTAGTTCATGTAAACTAGGTGTATATTGTTCCAAAAAACAAACACAAATCTAACACTATATTCAGTTATTAGAAAACTTTTAAAAGTGTTTAGAACTACTTGGGTATGCAATCTATTTTTTCAAGTATAAATTTTATGAAACCTATATACCAAACATGTATTTCCAAATTATGTAAAATACACATCAGGTTTTGAAGACTTGCAATAAAAAAGCAAAATAATTTCACCAATAATTCCTCACATCAATTACATGTTGAAGTACTACTTTATTATATTGGTTTAAATAAGATATATTAAAATTAATTTCTTACACTTTTCTTCTTACTTTTCAGCATGGCTACTAGAAAATTTAAAATTATGTGTGTGGCTTGCATTGTTTTCCCACTGCACATCACTGGAATAGGGCTTTGTTTGTCATTATGAGAATTTTTATTTTTATGATATGTGTTGGAAAGCAATTCGAGTTTTGGGAAAGTAGAGACATGATCTAAACTTGTTTTAAAAGGACCTGGTTGTAGTTTTAGAAACAGACAAATGTGTGGAGGGAGTTAGAAGACAAAAAGCAGGGAAACTAGGCAG